TGGGGAGGCATGATCCCATTTTGTTACAGTTGAAGAAACAGGGTCATTCCTAATTACTCAGGATTAGAATCATTTTTCTCACTCCCATCTTATCCCCTACTCCCTGAGGAGTGCGGATTCTTCAGTCATTGAGGTTGATTGTATTTCAGATCTTAATTGACCATAAAAAATAAAATTCAAATGACGAAAACACTGGAATATTTAGGGGATTCCTTAATTTCCTCTCCTTTTCATCCTCCTCACTTTCTTTTCTGTGTCTACTCCCCTGAGCACTGTTTGAAATTGTTCTGACAGCAGCATACTTCTTGCTGGGCGACGTAGCCAGGGTCCAATAGTAGTAGACTCTAGGTCTCTCCAAGATGGCAGACAGGCCCTTGCTATGTCACAGTGCCAGTTGCCAGAACAGTGGATCGAGCTTAGAGTGACTTATTCAGTGTCTTCTGAGCACTGCACGAAGATGGGCGTGGTGGTAGTGGAGCAATGGAGTGTCATGCTTTTGCTAAGCCCTGGAAAGCTAAAATACTTTTGCTAACAGATACAAAACTGGTTAATGTGCTATAGAGGCATAAAACCATAACCCTGAGGTTATCTTTTTTTGCCCGTCAGAAATCCACAAGTCAACATAACTTCATAGTGTTCAGGCTCTAATTAAATAGTCATAAATGGCAAAGTCAAACACAGGTACAGTCTAGATAACTAAATATTTCTTAGAATATTGTTAAATAACATTGACAGGACATGTGGTCACTTATTTCTAAGTTTGAGATACATTTTCTTAAAGATATAGTCACCCCTCCTTATCCACGATTTAGTTTTTGTGGTTTCAGTTCCTCAAGGTCAGAAAGTCAGTAGTAGCCTAACCTCATTCCCCTCACTTCATCTCATCCTGTAGTCATGGTACCATCTCACATCAACATCAACACAAGAAGGGTGAGGAGGCAAGAGAGACCACGTTCACATAATTTTTATGGTATATCATAATTCTTTTATTGTTCATCTCAAGTTACAAATTAAACCTTATAGGTGTGTATGTATAGGAAAAAGCATTGTATATATATAGTTCAGCACTATCCATGGTTTCAGGCATCCAGTGAGCCACAGGGTTCTTAGAATGTATCCCCTAATAGGCCAGCCATGGTGACCTGTGACACCTATAATCCCAGCACTTTGGGATGCCGAGGCTGGTGGCTCACCTGAACTCAGGAGTTCAAAACCAGCTTGGGCAACATGTCGAAGCCCTGTCTCTACAAAAAATAGGCATGGTGGTGTGCGCCTGTAGTCTCAGCTCCTTGGGAGAATGAGGCAGGTGGATCGCTTGAGCCTGGGAGGTAGAGATGACAGTGAGCTGAGATTGTGCCACTGCACTCCAGCCTGGGCAACAGAGCAAGACTCTCTCAGGGGGGAAAAAAAAAGAATGTGTCACCCACTAATAAGAGGAGGCACTGCTGTACTGTACTTTGCTTACCTTACAAGTTTGTGGTATGGATCAAATAAGAACATATTAAAATGTTTTGTTAACTGTAAGGTGCCATGTATATTTTAATTATTGTGATTATTTTACAAAGCCCCTGAATCATATTGTATTGGAATTAATACTGATATAGAAAAGAGAGAGCTAATTATTGAATACCTATTTTTTGAGTATTGTTTTTATCTCATTTAATTCTTACAAAAAGACTGAAAAGATACAGAACATGCTTCATTTTCTCTGTAAGGATTATAATAGCACCTACTTCAAGGGGCTATTGTGAGAATTAATAAAAAATACAGACTTACTGCTTAAAAACCAGTACCTGGTATACAATAAACACACAAATGTTGGTTCACTGAGGGCCCAGCCTGTTATTTGAACACATTTACTCAAGTTTATTTCTCTCTAATAACAATGTATTTCATTTCTGGAAGTTTTATCTGGACTTAGTTCTTTCACAAATCTGCCTTTATTTTTAAAAAATAACATTGTGTTCTTGCCTCATGTTTTAAATTCCTTTTGTCTTTATCTTTCCAAACATAGTCTTTTTTTCAATGTTGCTGTTATGTAAAATGTACAAGTCTAATCTTGCTAGTTATTACATTTGATTCTCACAGGGATTGTTTTTTTCTAACTAAATGATTTATTAGCTGCTAGAACAAGGGTATTCAATCTTTTGGCTTCTCTGGGCCACACTGGAAGAAGAAGAATTGTCTTGGGCCACACATAAAATACACTAACACTAAAGATAGGTGATGAGCTAAAAAAGAAAAACACACACACACAGATCTCGACATGTTTTAAGAAAGTTCACAAATTTGTGTTGGGTGGCATTCAAAGCCATCCTGGGCTGCATGTGGGCTGTGGGTTGGACAAGCTTGTGCTATAATGTCACACATACACTAGCAAAATAAATCTTAGTCCCCATAATGTTTTAAATCATAGATTATTGGCTGGGCACAGTGGCTCACCCCTGTAATGCTAGCACTTTGGGAGGCCAAGGTGGGTGGATCACCTGAGGTCAGGAGTTTGAGACTAGCCTGACCAACATGGCAAAATGATGTATCTACTAAAAATACAAAAATTAGCTGGGCAAGGTGGCGCATGCCTGTAATCCCAGCTACTCAGGAGGCTGAGGCAGGAGACTCGCTTCAACCTGGGAGGCAGAGGTTGCAGTGAGCCGAGATCGTACCACTGCACTCCAGCCTGGGCCACAGAGCCAGAGTCCATCTCACAAAAAAAACAAAAACAAAAAAACAAAAAAATAGATGATTAACTAGAGATAGCTGAGTTTTTCAGAGCAGTTGGAAGCAAAGGAACAATGGTGCCATCGTGACATCGTAGGTCTTTCTTTTATACCACATTTATTTGCAATTTGGCCCAATTCACTGCTGGAACTGGTGGTGGTTTGATTTTTCTGGGTTACCACCCTACTCTGGGCTCCGGTATTCATTTGGACGAATGCCGCATTATGTAATGAAAGTATAACTCCGGGCCAGTTACTTCTTCCCTGAGTCTTGGTTTCCTTCTCTGTAGAAAGGGAATGGTAATAGGGATGTGTGAAGTTTCATTATTGTGCACCACGGTGCCCACCACAGCATAAGCACTTTCTGTCAACTTTTATTAGCATTTTTTTTGTACAAATTTTTTCTAACATTTATATTCCCTAGTCAAGTGTAGCCTGATGTCACAACCATCACAACAATGTAATCGCTATCAACTCCTCATCCTTTCCATCACGTCCTCTAACCCATATCCAGCTCATCCATTCTTATTTTTCCTGGCCGCCTCCTGGTCCCCCATATTCACGATGCTCATCTCTCCACCTACACAGAGTTTTCCCAGTCTGGACAACCCCAGTCCTTTTGGTAACCATTCTCCATCTTTTCAGAGCTCAAAGTTCCATGTCCTTTAGGAAGGCATGGACCAGGTTTAAGCCACACGAATCTTTCTTTTCTAAATTCAGAAGCCTCTATGGGGAGTGCCATGGACTGTGGCTTCCTCAGGATTTGGTGGCTTTGCTCATGGCGTGGCTGTGGGTGCCCTCCTAGCTAGACTGGACGTTTTCCTACAGAAAAACAACAGGGCGCACAGCCAGTGTATGTACGTAATACCACCAGTTTCAAGTGGGTGCTTGTCACGTATTTTTAATTTTTGGCTTCTTAGCACGTACTTGCTGGGAACTTGGTGCCTGGTTTGTGGCTGTGTCTGTGTCGCTCCAGAAAGGATTTCTTTGTTTTGCCAAGTGTTCTCTGGCGAACCAGCTGGGACCATTTGTTGATGTTTTAGTCTGGATTACTCTGGCAGTGTGAGTTCCAACACCCTCCCCTCCCCACACCCAAACGAGGGGCGCCTGTGGTTATGGATCCTTGCTGCTTTGAAGTAGGAGCTGCTGGAAGAATAGAAACTTGCAGGAAAGAAAAGGGGTGAGGGAGGGGAGGGGCCGTGAAGCGAACTCCTAGACTTCATATGTTACCTTTGTCGTTACACTGTCTCAAGCCAGGAGTGTAAGGGTTACCTTTGTCGTTACATTGTCTCAAACTAGGAGCAGAAGGGTTACCTTTGTCGTTACACTGTCTCAAACCAGGAGCCTAAGGGTTACCTTTGTTGGGACACTGTCTTAAGCTAGGAGCATAAGCTGGGATGTGTGACTCGGTCACACGTTTTCCAGTCTATAGGAAAAAGTAGGGGAACGCATGCTGTTCCCATTGTATAGAAACAGACACTGAAGCCCAGAACATGGAACTGGGTGTAGGTCCTCCAGGTTCTCTGTTGTGCCAGAAAGAGGTAAGATGATGAACCTCTCTGAGAGGAAGGCGGGCAGTCTCCACACATATGTTATTACCCCATTTCCCCAAACTCATCTCTGGGTCTCACATCTTCCCCAACAGTCTGGGCCTTATCCCAAGTCTTCACAGAGGAAAAAGGCCATTTTCATTTGTGCAGCATTTTAGAGTTAGAGGTTTACACACAGCTCCTTACTTTTCAGCAGTGCTGTGAGGTAAGCAAAATGTGTACTCTTATTCCAATTTTTACAGATGCGGAGTCCGAGAAACTGGGCTCAGGCTGGCGAAGACAGCTTCAGGGCACAACAGTTCAGTGTTGCATCCGGGATTCTGACTCAGGCTCTTTGTCATCCCGGACTTCAGGATCAGAGAGAGGTTTAAAATGCAGATGATGTCTACCTCCCTGGATTCTTTGATGTTGAAGTGAAATTCACATGATACACAATTAATCATTTCAAATGGAACAATTTGTGGCCTTTAGTGCATTCACAATGTTACGCAACCATCACTTCTATTTTCAAAGCTTTTCCCTTTACCCGCTCCCTGGGCTTTTGTGCAGAATAAAAGACACCATCTGTGGAAGGCCTCCAGCGCGGGGCCTTGCCCCTAGCAGGGGCTCAGTGAATGCAGCCTATATTTTCAGACTCTCTCTAGCTTTCTCTCAGAAACCTGGTCATATAGAAATAGGATTTTTTTCCTAAATTTAGCACCTTGAGAAAATCAGGTTGAGGATATAGGAGGTATTTGTGTCTCAATCATTTTTTTTTTTCCTTTTTCTCAAAATGACATGTGAAAGCTGCGCTCTCCCAAGAAACTGTCCCCGAAGAACCCTTTCTATTCTTTAAAACAAAGAGACACATTGACCTACTGATGCCCTAGTAGTTACACATCATTGCATGGCTTCTTGGTTACTGAAGGAGTTTGACTTCTCGGCCAGGCTGTGACATGCACAGCTTAGGGGGCACCTCAGTGCTCCGCGTTGTCCTGGACACAAAACAGTTGCTTAATAAGTATGTGTTGGATTGGACTGAATGGTGGCCAGCCAGCTCCAAAATTCCAGCCACCCCCTGGTGACCAGTGTTTTTTCTGCCTTTGAAATAGTGAGTTTGGTGATTTGAGGATATGCTCGTGGTGGCAGGCAGTTTGGGCTCTGACTGGCCGTGGCTTGGGCAGCCCTGCCGGAGGCAGGCCACGAAAGGCGGCAGTTCCCACACCTGGGCTGCACAAGAGATGAAAGGCAAGTGCTTCACACAGGCAAACCCAGGAATAAAACAGCTTTGAACTTTATTTAAATGTACCCCTTCCAGGAGCATAGGCCTGGAAGAAGCCCAGGCCCCGAGAAGCTGTGACTATCCCCTGGGCTTCCTATGGCACCAGGTGTTGAAGCATGTCCTGGTGGCTGGGAGTGGCTGGGGCGGGGGCAGTAAGGACAGTGGCTGGGGAGGACCCACCCCTGGGCCTAGAGGGCCACAGTGCGCAGGCTCATTGGAGGATCTTCCCTCCGGCCACCTCTTCTGCACCTCCAGACCACTGTCCCGATGACGCCGACCACAAGGCCGACTCCTGCCGCCACTGGCACAGCCCAGTAGAGCACATTGGGGGCTTCTTCAGCCTGGTCTGGGAGCAGCTGGCTATTCCGCAGGGTGTAGAGGTAAGGGCTCTCCTGTGGGGGGGCGGGGGGGAGCAGCAGAAAGGACCTCGGTGAACCATCCATCACCAAGCCAAGACTTGCCTAGTCCCCATTCCTGAGATGCTGTGATAACCCTGCACGTTTTCACAGCACTTCCCTTTTGTAAAGCGCCCTCATTTACGCTGTGCCCAAACCCTCTTTAGCAGGATGGGCCTCTAAAGAAGTCAACACACAGTTAGAACCTTCTTTTGGTTTCTCAGCAGCATTTCCTTTGCTGTCAAACCTGATTTTGAAAGATTGGGAACTGATAGGCGACCAATGGCAGAGAGCCCTGGGGAGCCTGTAGAACTCCTGCCTCTACTTCTTCTTGGTCACAACTGTCCCCATTCTCCCATCCCAGGAATACCCAGAAATCAGGGAAGGGCAGCATGGAAGGACAGTTGGTTTTGTAGTAGATGAAAGATTCCCAAATCAGAAGGGCCGGGAGGGGAGGCATGTGGGCAGATAGTGTGCATTCCTGCCTTCCTACACCCCTCTCCACTCTCCTTTCTCTCAGTGAATGTGAATTGGGTGCCTGCTGTGTGGAGCCCCCATGCTGGGAGCTGTGATGAGACCAGAGGGTTAAGACGTGCTATCTTTTCTTGCGGCCCAGGAGGAAAGGTGAGATGTGCAGAAACAATCACATCATAAAGGAGACTGGGTCAGTGTCTTATGAGAGGTACAAATAGAAAAGGAGACCCATACGGGTGAGTGTCTGGAGACAGAAATGGTAGGTAAGAGGAGGTGAAACTGTAGCTTAGTGAAGGCAACATCTGGGCCTGGAGGGAGGCAGATGTTCTCATAGGCAGATGGAGGATGAACCTCCAGGAGCAGATAGAAGAAGGAAAGTCCTGGACACGGGCACTCCCATCCTGGGGGATGGATCCACTGGCCAGGAGTGTAGCATGTGTATAATGGAGGCAGGTGACCCTCCCTCCAGACTCTGGTCAATGGGCAGTAGGGACCAGGCAAGGATTTCAAGCAGCCTTGATGGGGCAAGTTATTTCCAGGAAGGTCTATCTGTATCTGGCAGCAAGTGTAGGGTGGATGGACAAGAGGGAGAGGAGAGTTGGGGAGACAAGTCACAGGCTTCGAAGGTGGGCCAGGCGAGGGCGGTGGGTGTGGTGAGGGAGGAAGACCATTGCAGGCTCCAGGAACAGAGACTGAGTCCTTTTTATCTTTGCCTCCTGATCCCCAGATCCTAGTATACTGCCTGGCATGGGAGAGCTGCTTGCTGCACTTTTATTTTTGAATCAGTTAGTCTGGAGTGCAGTGGCATGATCTCAGCTCACTGCAAACTCGGCCTCCCGGGGTTCAAGTGATTCTCCTGCCTCAGCCTCTCGAGTAGCTGGGACTACAGGCGCTCGCCACCATGTCCGGCTAACTTGTATATTTTCAGTAGAGACGGGGTTTAACTATATTGGCCAGGCTGGTCTTGTACTCCAGACCTCAGGTGATCTGCCCACCTCGGTCTCCCAAAGTGCTGGGATCACAGGCGTGAGCCACCATGCCTGGCCTTGATGCACTTTTAAGACTGAGGATGCATCGGAGTTTTCAGAAGGAATGGGTGACCCCAGACACCCGCCAGTGCTCATCAGCCTCCCTGACTGTCCTCACTTCGGCTGGAGCTGTTGAATGTCCTCTCCCCTCACTCCATGGCTGCCCACACCCTGAGAAGTTTCCATGGCAGTGGGGACAGGTGGGATTTGAGAAATGCAGAGTGAAGCTGCATTTGAGGGAGCCTCCCAGGGCACTCCTCTGTGCTTCTAGGGGACAGGACAACCCCCACCCCAGGCATCTGTTCCACCTGGGGCAGGCGGGATGTTTACTCACAGGAGAGGGGCACTTGAGTTTGGCTCGGCTGTGGGTGAAGTTGTTGGAGGTAGTCTTGCGGCCCACTGGTTCCAGCTGGAGAGAGAGAAAGGACAGCTTGATTCTCTCCAAAGCTGGGAGACGCTTTCCTCTCTGAGGGGGTGTCTCACACCAGAGCCCCTCCCTCGGGAAGGGGGCGGGGGTTAGAAAACAGCAAAGTGGCTGGTTTTTGGCCCACAGCAGGGACCCAGCAGCCTGGGGCTGAGCGGGAGCTGACGTATGAAGCACGGAGGGACAAGGCAGCCTCTGTCGGCAGGGCAGGACCCTGAGTCTGTGCCCCTGGATTTGCCAGGTACAGTGAGGCCCAGGAGAGACCACTGGTCCTGAGTCCACAGGAAGTCTTTGGAAAGGTTGGGGCCATCTCTGGCTTCCTTTGTGAGTGGCTGTGATTGTAAGACACCGTGTTCTCAATTTTAGAAAATGATGACAATCCTACTTACCAACTTCTCGAAGTGCATGGGGCTAGTCAATTTCAGGAAACTTTGGAAACATATTGGTTACAGTGACATCATTACTGCACTTGACTTGTCAACCTAGGGAAACTGGAGTTTCTCACTTGAGCCACTTCGTATGTTTTCCACATAGATGAAAAGATTTATTTGAAATATTCCTGGGTGTAAATACTTTTGATCCCAGGACCCTCTGAGTATGAGCTAGGAGCTGCTGTATCCCCCTCCCCAGAATCTTTTAGCTAGTAGCCAGGCCCAACATGTGGCCAGCACTGAGAAGAATGAGCCCCTAGCACTGTCACCTATTCAGAGTCTGTCTGGAACATCTAGCCTCCACTCTTTGTGTATTCTGCCTGCTCCTGACCACAGGGTATTGCCAAGGAGGGAGGTGAAAGTTCACTATCTGAGCTCATGACCACACCTGGCCCATGATCTCACTTTCTGTTGGCTGAAAGTCTTTTACACCTGTTCCTTAGTAACACAATTGGAGGAGGGAGAGCAGTTCTGTTCCTGGGAGAGATGCCAGAGTGACTAGACTGAGCACAATGGGCTGGGATCCAGGCTCTGCTGGTAACGGGCTGTGCAGTGCTGGGAAGGCTACTTCTCTGAGGTTAGGGACAGGCATGACATCCTGTCCTGACACCTTGGTTTGTTGTCAGCATCAAATGAGAAAATGGCATGAAAGCACGTGTGATCGGGGTGGCTTACATACATAAGGTAGTATTATTTCCACTTTCTTAAGAGCTGAGGAAACTGAAGCCTATCGTAAACTCAAGCCTATCATAAACTGAAGCCTATCGTAAACTCAAGCCTATCATAAACTGAAGCCTATCGTAAACTCAAGCCTATCGTAACAGTGACAGAATAAATGCTAAAGATCAGGGTGGCTGATTCCCGATGCTATTCCAGGAACCCAGGAACTAATTCACACAGAAGATGATCATGATTACAAGGGTCTGATGAATGTGTCAGTTTCTCCCTTTCTACTGGTTCCTTCTCAATAGTACACAACCTGCTCCGACATCTCCCCTCCTTCACCTGCCCTCTCTTTGATCCATATCCCCTTCAATGAAAGAGCTGTCTGTAGGTGCTGGCAGCACTTCCTAATCTCTCCTCTCTGCTGCTCACTCCAGTCTGCAGTCTCCATCGCTGGATGGAAGCTCTGGCCCTGGCCACCAATGATCTCCATATAGGCAGAGCCAAAGGTTTTGTGTGTGTGTGTGTGTGTTCATCTTGCTTGGCTTCTCAGGAGCATTCATTAAAGTTGACAGCTCTCTCTCTCTCTCTCTCTCTCTCTCTCAACCCTGACTTCTCTTGGCTCTCTGGACACAGCATTGTTTCTCATTTCCTTTCTACCTCCACACTCTCCTTCTCATCTCTCACTGGAGTTGAAAGCTGGAATGAATGCCCAGGGCTAGGTAGTTGGCCTTATACTCTTTTCTACCTATTCTTTCTCTAGGAGCTCTTAGTTGATCCTGTAGTGGTTGCTTTTTTTTTTTTTTTTTTTTTTTTAAGATGGAGTCTTACCCAGGCTGGAGTGCAATGGCACAATCTCGGCTTACTGCAACCTCCGCCTCTGGGTTCAAGCGATTCTCCTGTCTCAACCTCCCTAAGTAGCTGGGATTACAGGTGCATGCGACCACGCCTGGCTAATTTTTGTATTTTCAGTAGAGACAGGGTTTCACCATGTTGGCCCTCTATGCTAATAACCCCACTTTTTTTTTTTTTCCTATCTCCAGCCTTGACTTCCTCTGTGAGCTCTAGACTTCTGTATCCCGACACCTCCATGTGGATGTCTAGAAGGCAGTTCACACCATGTCCAAAACAGAAGTCTTGATTTGTTTCCTCCCAAGCTGATTTTTCTCTACCTGCTCAACCATCCACCCAGTTTCTTAGACCCCAAACCAAAAAGTCATCCTTGTTCCTCTTCCCCATCATCCATCCGCCAGCCCACAACACATCCTAAACCTCACCGCTTCTCTCCTCCTCTGCCCTGACCCTAGTCTCAGCCCCCTTCCTCTCTCACCCATCACCAGCGGCCTCCTAGTGGTCTTTCCAGATCCACCCTTGCTGTCTTCCAGTCCAGGGGTACACAGATCCGGGGGTAAGCCAGAGCATATCACCTTCCTGCTTAGAAGCATCCAGGGACCTGGCCCCTGCCCAACTCTTTGACCTTGTTCACTTCCCTCTGGTCACACTGGCCTTTAAGTTCCTCAGACACTTCAAGCTTATTCTTGACTCTAGGCCCACATGGGTCCTATTTCCTCTGCCTGGCAACCTCTTGACGTGCACTTCTCAATCCAACGTCACTTCTTCAGGGAGGCCTCCCTCTCCCCCACCATTACTCTGTGTCACATCGCCCTGCTTGAGTTTTTCTTAAGCCACAGATGTGGTCAGAAATGACCTTGTTGATTATCCATCTTTTCCCTACTATCCTGTATGTCCCATGACAGCAGGAGTCATCTTTTTTCACTGCTGAGTCCTCAGTACCTGGAGCAGTACCTAGCACACAGCAGTGCTCAGTAAATTCTTGTTGGATGGATGGATAGAGGAATGAATTGAAGTCACAGAGATCTGAGTGGAGAAGCTTGGCAGGGGAAGGCTTGGAGCTGGTCACAGGGGATGAAATTGTTTTTCTTAGAACCAACCTTTCCTAAGCCAGGCACTGTGGCTACCAACCACGTAGCAAATGACAGGACTGGGCAGGGTGTAATGGACCTAGGTGGGCCACTGGCCTGTCCTGGAGATTCAGAGGTGGCTTCCTGCAGGAGGTGGCACCTGAGTTGAGTGGTGGAGTGGGGAAGGGCAATCCAGGAGAAGGAGGAGAGCAAGAGTGAGCAGAGGTGTGGAACACCACGGGTGGTGCAGGATGCTGCTGGAGTCACTAGACTGCAACATGTGAGGCAGATGCTGGTGGAAATGGTAGCCAGAGAGGTTAATCAGGTGAATCAGGCCAAGTCCCAGAGGCCTAGTGTGCTGTGGAATGGGGCCTGGACTGCCTCCTTCAGAGGTGGGAGGCTTTGGAAGTTTGAAAGCAGGGAAGTGACTGGGTCAGGTTTTTTTTAATACAGATTACTTGATTTCTCTGTGGGGACCAGATCTAAGGCAGTGGTTCATAAACCCTGCACATTAAAATAATCTCAGGAGCTTTCACAAAGTACTGAATCCAGCTCGCACTCCAGACCAATTAAGTCAGAATCTCTGGGGATAAGCCCGGTCAGGCACTGATATTGTTTTTCAAGTAAACTTTTTTTTTTTTTTTTTTAATTTGAGGAAGAGTTTTACTCTTGTCACTCAGGATGGAGTGCAATGATGTGATCTTGGCTCACTGCAACCCCCGCCTCCCAGGTTCAAGTGATTTTCCTGTCTCAGCCTCCCAAGTAGCTGGAATTATAGGCATGTGCCACCACGCTTGGCTAATTTTTTATTTTTAGTAGAGATGGGGTTTTACTGTGTTGGCTAGGTTGGTCTCAAACTCCTGACCTCAGGTGATCAGCCCGCCTCGGCCTCCCAAAGTGCTGGGATTACAGGTGTGAGCTACTGCACCTGGCCTCAAATAAACTTTTAATTGAAGCTAACATACACATAGAAACTAGTACAAATCGTAAGTGAGCAGCAGGTAAGTTTTGATAAAATGAACATACCAGCATCCAGTCAGGCAATAGACTATTACAGTCCTCAGAAGCTCCTTTCCACTTTCTTTCAGGACTATTCATCCCCCAGTGAGTCTTTACACCATCATGCTGACTTCTAACCCCATATGCCAAGCTTCTTGCTTTCAAACTTTATAGATACTATTGTATGTTGTTTAAGTTTGCTCAACTGTCACTTCTTCAGTGAGGCTTCCCTCTTCCCAGCCATCACTCTGTGTCACATCGCCCTGCCTGATTTTTTTTTTTTTAAGTCACAGATGCAGTCAGACCTGTATGGTATTCCTCAGTATGAATGTGCCACAGTTTATTCATCCATCCTACTGTCAGCGGACATTTGGGGAGTTTCTAGTTTGGAGCTGTTTATAAAGTGCTGCTGTGAATATTCTTGTGTATATCTTTTGGTGGACACATATATACCTTTCTTTTGGGGATATACCTAGGATTGAAACCATTGGATCACAGGAAATACATGTGTTCAGCGTTATTAAATAGACCAAAGAGTTTTCCAAAGTGGCTATAGGCACTGATTGTTTTTAAAAGTCCCTGGATGACCGGGCGCAGTGACTCACACCTGTAATCCCAGCACTTTGGAAGGCCAAGGCGGGTGAATCTCCTGAAGGCAGGAGTTCAAGACCAGCCTAGCCTGGCCAACATGGCAAAACCTTGTCTCCATTAAAAATACAAAAATTAGCTGGGCATAGTGGCATGCACCTGTAATCCCAGCTACTTGGGAGACTGAGGCAGGAGAATCGCTTGAATCCAGGAGACAGAGGTTGCAGTGAGCTGAGATCGCACCATTGCTCTCCAACCTGGGCAACAGAGTGAGGCTCTGTCATTCATTCATTCATTCATTCATTCATTCATTCATACATACATACATATATACATACATGTCCCTGACTGATTCTAATATGCAGCTGGAGCTGAGAGTTGCTATTCTAAGGGCTGTGAGTCTGAAGGCAGGGATGTCAGTCAGGAGGCTGGAGCTGTCACCCAGCACCTGGGGAGATTCAAACACTGGCTGAGAGCAGGATTTCCACAAAAGAGGGAGCAGGCAGCAGTAGAGGACTAGGCCTCGGGAAAGAGAAGCTCTTGATAAGAAGACAAAAGAAGGCAGAGGAAGAGAAAACAGCCCCTGGTGCTGCTGGTGCTTCTGGCTTTGCCTTTGCAAAGGTCTGGAGAAGGACGTGAAAGGAGAGGCGGGAGGTGAAATAGTTTAAAGTGCTTTTTGTTTCCCAGTAGGGAATCCTGGGAACATCAGCCAAAGCCTGCAGACACTACGTCATAGGACTCTAATTGTGAGACATGAATTCACCCGGTATATATGTGCTTAGCAGGTTGGGAGCAGCGGGGAGAGTGGTGGTGTGGCCAGGTCGCCAGGAAAGGACTAGAAAAACCTGGACTCTCATCCCCCTTGTGCCATGAACAGTCTGTGTTATGTTGGGCAAACTGCTTCATGTCTCTATACTTTAGTTACAGAATGTTCTGGCTAGATGACCTCTCAGTCTGTTACAGCTCTAATGGTCTATTATTTATTTTCTGTTACTCTAGGGGTGAAATTCCAGCCAGAAGCCAATCTGAAAAGTTGGCATGATGCTATAGCTTTATGTCTGAGATTGGCTTTGGATGAAAACATTAGACTGTATAATTATTTCCCAAAATTATAGAGCCTAGGATAAGAAACCCCTGGATGGCTTTAGTTTTGTTTTTGTTATTTTGAAGTTCGGGCTATGGCTGAGATAATAATGTCTGGGGAACCATGGACAGTCTTGTTTTGTTTCCACAATAGCTCCAGTGCAGTATTTACATTTTGTGTTCATATCTAAACTCCTCCTACTTATCTTTATGAAACAAAGGTCTCTTACCTGGGTGAATGGGAAGAGCTACTGAACCGCTTTGGAAGAGAAGGCCAGAGTTACATATATATTTTTTTCTTTTCTATTTGTTTTCTGAGATAGGGTCTCACTCTGTCCCCCAGGCTGGAGTGCAGTGGTGCCATCTCGGCTCACTGCAGCCTTGACCTCCCATGCTCAAGTGATCTTCTCACCTCAGCCTTCTGAGCAGCTGGGACTACAGGCATGTACCACCACACCTGGCTAATATTTTGATTTTTTTTTTTTTTTTTTATAGAGATAGGATCTCCCCTGTGTTGCCCAGGTTGGTGTCTAATTCCTGGGCCCAAGTGATCCACCTGCCTCAGCCTCCCAAACTGCTGGGATTACAGGCATGAGCCACTGTGCCTGGCCAGATCTACTTTGTTATTCACATGAAGAGAAACCAATGGACTCTTTTTCATGTTCCAGCCATCACTATGGCTGTCCAGCCCCAGGAGATTCCTGAAGGGTCCCAGCTTTAAGTAGACTTGGAGTTCCACCTGGGTAGGGAGGCCATACCTTGATGGAAAAACTGGGAAGGAAGGGCCAAGGGCTTAGCTCTCTTTGGCTGTTCTTGGAATCTGTGGATTCCCTTGAGGTCTCAGGGGAAAAGGAACAGGGAATAGGTACCCTTTCTTTGTGAGGATTTTTACAAAGGAATAAAGTCACATGGTTCAGCCACTGAAGGACAACTAGCCTTCAAAACAAAATCCACAAAAGAAACAGGAATCATACCACATCAACTGATTTAAAAATTGTGGGGCAAACTCAAAGATATTTTGGTTGCAATCCAGAGTCTTGGGCTGGAAGAGTACAACAGAGGTTCTTGGAGTGGGCAGATATGTGATGTCCACGGGAGGAAAACCCCAGGACAATGGAAGTCAACATAAGCTGAGTGTGTCATTAACTAGGCCAAAGATAAAGCCAGTTTACATGCTGTTCTTAAAAGAGGTTGCTAGAGAGGAAGAGATGGTGTAGCTAAGGAGAAAGTCAATATTGTGAGTCAGCCGAGTGAGATGCTGGACACACTGGATGAGCTGACAGGGGTGGGAATGTTTGCACAGCAGTGGTTGGCAGAGACACTCTGGGCCTGAAACTGTGATAAAAGGAGCTGGAATGTATCTTGTTTAGTTGTCATAGGACAAAGGAAGGAACATATAGGTTGGGGTGGGGATTGTGTTACCCACTGAGCCTGGATTAAAAGAAACCATTGGGTTGGGAAGGCATTTCATTTGCTCTGTGCGAGAGGATTCAGTTGTTGGGGTGACAGGCCAAGTGCTGTGCAGATACCGTTCAGTTGTTGGTGGCCAGCCACAGAGGGAAGAGTGGAAGCACCAGCCACGTGTCCCTGAGAGACCCCTGGTCTGTATGTTCATTTCATAAGGTACCTTCTCCCCATCAGAAAGGACTGGAATAGGTATCAGCCTGGGAAAACAGGCTGTGTGGATCTCCACTTTGCGATGTTTAAAGAAATGAGTTGGGTATGAGTTGAGCCCGGAGTCCTTGGAAGGCTGATAGTGCTGACATTTGCTGAGTGCCAGCTATTGTGCTGGGTGCCATGTACACATGATCTCAGTGCGTTTTCTGAGACCTGTCTTGTTTTCAGTTTTATAGATGCTGACATAGGTGGCCAGAGAGATCGTTTGCCCAAAGTCACACCGTCAGAGGTGGAAGTCGGTATTTTCATCCAGCCAACCTATTTGATTACAAAGGGATTCCCTCACAGTATCTGGGCATTGTTGAAGGAGCAAAGAATACAGTTTTGTGTGTGTGTGTGTGTGTTTGTGTAACTTTCAAAGGGTGTTGGATAAATATAGGGTATTTTCCCTTTGGAATTAATCAATCAGGACAAATAAGGTGTGCTGCCATTTTGGGCTTTGGGGAGAAAGGAGCCATGTCTCCAGTAGGTTTGCCATTGTGAGACAGAGAGTCAATATCCTTGGATTCCCCCTTGACAAGGCCCACCAGGCCCTCGGCTGCTCACCATGTTGTTCCAGAGCGCAATGGCCATCTCGGCATGTCCACGGTCTGAGAAGTGAAAACAGTCCTCGGAGAAGAAGGTGAGGTCAGTGTCCCCTCTCTGCAACCAAAAGGCAAGGAGGTTACCGTCCTGGGAAAGGGCCCTGCTACCTGAGCCCCAATCCTGCTCCCAGCAGGTGCCCTGGGCATGTCTCCTTTCATCCTTCCAACTCTCCTGCCAACTGGCTCAGATACTGATGGAAAAACTCCCAGAATTTGAAAAAAAAAATTTTTTTTTTTTTGAGACAGAGTTTCGCACTCTCAGCCGGGCTGGAGTGCAGTGGCACGATCTCAGCTCACTGCAACCTCCGTCTCCGCCTCCTGAGTAGCTGGGATTACAGGCGCCCACCACCACGCCCAGCTAACTTTTTGTATTTTTAGTAGAGGCAGAGTTTCACCATTTTGGCCAGACTGGTCTCGAACTCCTAACCTCATGATTCACCTGCCTTGGCCTCCCAAAGTGCTGAGATTACAGGTATGAGCCACTACACCCGGCCAGAATTTTCTTTTTAAACAGACATGAATTGGACCCACCCATAGTCTCTCCCTTTTCTTGCAGCACGCCTATCCTAATAGTTGAAAAGAGTAACATTTTTAGGAAGCTTTCCATTCTATCCCAATCCAGAAAATATCAGGGCCAGGCCTGGGGAGCTTAGTCACTATTGATTTCCTTTCCAACTACATCTGAGTTCCGATCACAGCCCAGCCCCCACAAAAAGGAGGTAATGTGGAAAAAGCCACCCTCAGGAGCCCTCTTGGAGAGAGATGGTTAAAAAAAATGCCCGCTTAAAGAAGTACATCCATTGTCTGTGATAAGGCCTCCATACACAAGCCTCCCTGAAATGCCCGCGGCTCACCTCGTTCAGTGGTATGAGTGTGTTTTGGAAGAAAGGCTGGACCACAACTGTGAAGTCCTCACGCTGTGTGTATTGGTGCCAGTAGGAGAAACTGGAGATGCCATTCTGGGGATGGAGAGAGAAGCTACTCAACCCTCCTGGCAAGGCTGCACAGACAGGGTTCAGTCCTGCTGCCTTGGATTGGTTGTGACAGGAGTCAACTCACCCTAAATGACAGTGACTTTAAGGCCCTACTCTAGTGGGATGCATGCATGCTTTTATTCTCCAACCATTCATGGGCACCTGCATTTCAAGGCCCTATCCTGGTTCTCAGGATCAGAGATGAGTTGAACCCAGCGACTCCTGGTGGGAGAAGCTCCCTATCCGCACAGCTCCACCCAGTCCCATTCCAAAGCCTCTGCCTGCAAGGCTGGGTCTGAGCCACTGACCAGATTACCTGGGCCAAAGGCCTCCCCTGCTCTCACTGCATGAAGAGGTCAATTAGAAAACGGGGCTGCAGGTCAGATGGGGAGCATCTCAACACCAGCTCCCAAAATGCTTGTGAACTTTGGGGGAGGAGAGTCCACGGTGGCTGGATTTAAGTACCCAAGCATGGAACATAAAAGGAACAGACTAGATGTACTTATCTTCAAGGAGTTTCTCATCCACCTGGGAACATGAGACAAGATGAGGACCATTTGGGGCTTTCAGGGTCCATCAAGTACAGACTGAATGTGATATGTGATATGGGGAGATGTCTGTGGGTGAAGTTCAGGCAGGGGAAGCTCCTGAGAGGAGGGAAGCAGACTTGCCTTGTGAATGAAGGCAGGTCAGTTTGCAGAATGGAAATGCTACCTGAGCCTGAGAGGGAACAATAGAGCCAGAGACATAAGCAGGAGTGGAGGTGGGGAGATGGAAGGGGGTAGAGAGAGGGCGAGGAGAATTTGAGGTAGAGTTAAGTAGGGCAGGGTTAAGCCTTTTTCTCTTTTTGAGACAGGGTCTCACTCTGTTGCCTAGGCAGCAGTACAATGGCATGATCATAGCTAATAGCAGCTTCCAACTCCTGAGCTGAAGCTGTCCTCCCCTCTCAGCCTCCTGAGTAGCTGGGACACCCAGCATGAGCCATTGTGCTGGGCCTAAGACTTTTGTTTTGAATGAAGGGAGGGGAGGAAGTGAGTAGTAATTATTACACATGGTTCTGCATGGGGAAAATGGGCCCCACCACAAGGAGTCTACTCCGGGAGTCTCTTGCTGCCTGCCTGCTAGGAGGAGAGGATTCTCTTAGCTTCCACTTTAGGGTCTCTCATTCCCTTCCCTGGCCTTGGTGTTCAGTTTGCAGGGATAAGTATTTCAGGGGCTGTGATCTGCTTTTAGGGAGTGGCTTGCTCTTGGCCAAATCCTGCTGAGCATTCGATTTCCGAGTCCTTGCTCAGGGAGTACAGGGGCCCCCAGCTGGGTCACTAAGAGAAGGGCTGCAGGGCTTACTTGGAGGTTCCAGTTCACTTTCTTCAGTTCTTGCTTCTCCAGGGAGCTTTGAGAGTGTCTGAGGCAAGTGCAGTTGTTCCTGTGAGACAGGGAGTCTTGTATTGAGGCTCCCTGGGGCACCGTGGCTCTGCCCTCCTGGGAGGCTGGCTCTGACACACAGCGCAGGCTGCCACCTCAGGGGCCTGTAGCCTGTGCTGCCTTACCTGGGGCAGGGGGTGACACACAAGTATTCCCACAATACACCTTTGACAGACTCTCAGACCCAGGTTCAGAATGCTAACTCAGGAGCCCTGAGGTCCAGAGGATGCTTGTTCATAGAGAAAGTGGGAGAGCTGGCCCCTGGCGCCTGGACCTTCTTGTGGACAGACGCCTACTCCCCTTCCTCCTTAACTGCTCTAGGAAACCAGCCTGGGATTTCTCCAGAGCAGGACTGGGTGTGCAGGAGACTGGAGTTCAGGAAACCAGTCACAATGGCTCTCTCTGTGCCTGGGTTTGGAATCACTCCTCATGTTCCTGGGGCCTCTCAGCTCTTCCCGCAACTGCTTAGGACCCTCCCTCAGGGCTCCAGTGTGGGAAGTCTGCGGAAAGCTGGGGAGGGCCACCAGCTAGAAGCAGTCCTGACAACATGGAACACGATACAGACAGACTCTGGAGGAGCTGTTCCCTGCAAGAATGGGAACCAGCTGGTCACCTTTGCAGCAAATCCATTTGAGCCCAGGTCTAGGATTCCTCAGCTCCCTGGAGAACCTCCTCTCTCATAGCAATAATCACTCAAACTTTGGGAGGCCCTCTGCCCTCAGAACATGGCAACTTCCAGCCCCCGACAGGAGCTCCTGTCTTGCCCATCAGCACCTTGTCTCCAAGCCCACCTGTCAAGGACAGGTCCCATTAAGGATGGAATAAGAGCTATTTCCTAAGACCCTGCTCTCGGTAGGCCGGGTATCTTAATTGTTTCCTCTTGCCGTCACATCTACCTTGCAGGGAAGGTGCCATCTCCCCCACTTTACAGATGAGCACAGAGGCTCGTAGAGGTTATGGGGTTTGTTCAAGGTTCCACGGCTCCTAAATGGCAGAGCAGTTCAGGCCGGAGGTAGCAGCCTTGAAAGCTCATGGCCCCATGCTGCTGCTCAACAGGGAGCAACATGCTGAGGTTTGACCTGGCAATCACTGACAATGTCAGGGAGCCTTAAGGATCATTTGGTCTGTCTCCTACAGAAAAGCAAACAGGGGTCCAGAGAAATGAAGCGTCTTGCATACAGTAGGCATTCACAAATGTAGAGGTACTTCCTGATGTTGTCCAAGCCCCTGAGCCACGTCTGCCCTCTGGCAGTCCTGCCTGGCTCTGCCTCAACTGGTCTCCTCCTCTGGCGCCTGCAAGCCCTCCTCACCCCAGGTGCCCCTGCCTTGGGACGGTGACCTGTCCACTTACTGAGCTGGCAGCATGGCACATTTCCCGCCTTGGCCCTGGTACAGGCTGGCCAGCTCCATGACCTCCACCACGTTGACGAAAGCCCTTGGCAGCTGCAGGGAGCGGAGGGTGGCTTTGTTAAGGCACTGGCTACTGCTGGGAGGAACCTGGGGGTCATCTGCAGTCCAGTTCCCACCTCCCAATTTTACCAATGAAGAAACTGAGGCCCAGAGGGTGGATGTGACTTGTACTATCTCACTGAATCTTCTTGAGTGGCCCCGCTTTATAGATCGAGAACTGAGACACAGAGCGGTCACTCACCTGAAGCCATAGTGCTGGGTGCAAACCTGGGCCGACTGGTGCCGAGGCAAGCTCATTGCTGCCACACAAGCCTGTCTCTGGCCAAGTGAGATTTCTCCTGCAGAGGAGCTTGACAGCTACCTCCCTCCCTACCATCCAGGTGCCCACTCATGGCGGGTCTCTGCTCAGTGAGCATCTCAGTGAACACAACCTGCCTGGATGCAGCCCAGGGAGGTGGCTGGCAGGACCCAGGAACACGCAACCCCTCTCCTACCTCCTGAGAGAGGATGTCCAGGGCCTGTTGGATGTGCTGAACATACTCCGTGGCCAAGTGGGCCTCCTGGAAGGAAAAAAGGGAACTCTCTTTAGCCCCTGGTGCCTGCTTTGAGAGAATGGTAAGAGCACAGGAGGGCTCTGGGGCCTGGGCTAATGACTGAGTGGGTACAGAGGGGCTTTGGCGGTCCTGGTCAGGCTGCGAAGCCCAGTCGTTGTTGCTACTGAGTCTCTGTAAGAAATCATCCCTTGTCCCCTACTAGACGCCATGAACAATCCCAACCCCCCACCCTGTTCCACATAATCTCAGACCCAACAGTGGGCTCTGCCAGTGCTGGATCCTGCCAGTTTTCAGCCTTGGCTCTTGGCAGTCCCATGTGTCATCTGACCTCAGCCTTCTCCAGCCACTTGCCGTGCCCTAGGTAGCTCCACTTTCTTTTTCCTTTGGGCTTTTTGGTCCATGCTGGTCCCACTGCCTGGAATGTTTTGCTCTCCTGTGTTCCCCTAACTTCTATCCCCTGTGACTCAGTGTAAGGTTCTCTTCCTGTGAACCATCTCCCCAATAGGCTGATTCAGAGGTGTGCCCATAGCATCCTGGGTGATGCATACGAGGTACATAGTAGGTGCTCAGTAAGTCCTTGCAGGCTGAATCTTAGGGCTTTGCTTTATAGCAGAGGGAGATGGTCCTATATTTTTACATGTGGCTCTGGGCTCCTTAGAAGGTGTCCCAGGCTGATACCAGCAGGGGTGTGGGTAGTGACTTGAAGCTCTTATACTCATGGAAGAACGCATGTCTGCAGGAAGTGGGAGTTGAGGCACCCATGAAGCAGCACCACTCAGGCAGGAGGGGATAGCTCAGGCAACCCATTATTTTTCCTGGAGACAAAGAGCTGAGGCTGGGTGAGATACCATGCACTCAATTCCAGCACACTGATGGGCACAGAACAAGTGCTGCTCGCTGAGTTTCTGCCCACAGCTACCAGAAGGGGTACTGGGAGTTGGGAAGGAGGGGAAAGGAACAAGAAGATAGACAGTCCACGCCAAAGAGTTAAAATAAAGGAGAGGGGACCTCATGTCTCCCAGAGTTTCTGCCCTTCCCCCTTTCCTTCTTTTTAAAACAGTCTGAGTAGTCTGAGTTAATCCTGGTGGTGGCATCCTAACCCTTTCAACTGAACTACGCCTTCAGGAGTATAAACCTGACAGTTCCCATGAAGAACACACATTCTGGGGCTAGTAGAGGGCATTTCCCTACGCCAGTGTCCACGGGCAGCTCTGGGGTCCAGGTCTCCCCCGGGGCCAGGACGCAGCAGTACTTAAATCCCCACGAGGTAGGGCTGCTTCTGCCTCTCAGGGAGAGAACTAAGGGGAAGAGGTTTGGAAAACCAACTCCTGTGTGTGGGAGGACACTTCTCATCAAGCCTCTGGTAGTCGGCCTCTGTGAGCCACAAGGAGTGATAAATGCCTTTTCCCCCACCACCATCTGTGACTGTCAAACATTCGACCACAACCTCTGAGGCTGGGCAGCTGCCTTTTCCTGGCCAAATAAAATACAGAACGTCCCCAACTTAGAACAAGATGTATTCCAAAATAAAAACTTTTGGAAGTTAAAACTTCCAGAAGTTTGTGAGTCTGGACATATTTCCCTATGGAAACATCAGGAACAGGTTTGGGCTCCCAGGGCCACTGCTGAGGTTTGGTTAACTCATGATAGCCCATCCAACCCCATCTAGAACATTGTTTTGCCTTTCCTCAAAATGAAACAGGGCAGGGATGGGGTGAGGATGGTTAGTCCCCTGTCTGGTACCAGAGGTCATATGTGTGTGGATAACAGAGGCCCCGCTTCAGCAGTGTCTGCAGTGGATCCACCTAGATCTTACTTCTGGAATCAGGGAACCAATGCACCTGCTCTTCCAGGGGCCACTCAGGCAGTAGAAAAGGCTGGGCCTCACCCGGCATGTGTAAACCAGGGAGGGCCTGGGGCAGCAGGCAAATGTGGCTCCCATGAGCAAGGAGCTTGGGGCAGGGCCAGGGGTGGATGGGCAAGGATGTTGCCAGAAGCCAGCAGCTTCCTTCTCGGGTCCTCACGGGGTTGGTCGGGGGCCTACCGGATTCTCACAGTAATGGCACAAGTCATTGCCCCCAATGAAGAGTGTGACCAGCTTCCAGTCTTTCTCCAGGTTGATGTCCTGAGGGGACAGAAGATCTTGAGTTTAGACCTTGGTGGGAGGCACATGCAAATGTTGCTACTGGGCCAGCCCGCCCACCCTCCAACTGCCTTTTGTCTTCTTTGTATTGCAACAGAGCAAAGCAGCAAAGTGGGCCAGGTGCGGTGGCTCACGCCTGTAATCCCAGCACTTTGGGAGGCTGAGGCAGGTGGATCACCAGAGGACAGGAGTTCGAGACCAGCCTGGCCAACATGGTGAAACCCCATCTCCACTAAAAATACAAAAATTAGCCGGGCCTTGTGGCAGGTGCCTGTAGTCCCAGCTACTTGGGAGGCTGAGGCAAGAGAATTGCTTGAACCCGGGAGGCAGATGCTGCAGTGAGCTGAGATCGTGCCACTGCACTCAGCCTGGGTGACAGAGCAAGACTGTCTTAAAAAAAAAAAGCAACAACAAAGTGGGGCTCCCTAGCCTTCAGTTGGTGCTGGGATAAGGTGTTCCACTGAGAGGATTTTTTTTGGGGGGTGGGATGGGGGAGTCTGCTTACACAAGGGAGAAGGGCTATTTTCCCCTTGAAATCTTAAGAAAGTTGTGTCCCTGGAGAAGTAGAATGCGGATGTGGCCCATTAAATGCTGAGGAGATTACCACGCACCCCACCCCCCACCGCCAAATGAAGGCCTTCCAGGGAGCTGCGGGCAAAGGATGCAGCTAGAAGCAAAGGCCCTGAGCTGCCCCTGGGATGAGTTCTTAGGGTCCGGGAAAGGAGACTGGAGAAAGAGCCCAGCGTGGACTGAGAAGTGGGGCTGGGGTTGGGAGGCCCTCTAAGCAGCTGGCTTTCCACTTGGCCACCTCCATAACAGGAATCCCACTGGGAGCTGAATTCCTAGGTATAAACACTGAACAGTTAAAAAAAAAAAAAAAAAGTGCTAGTGAGAAGTTTCAGAGGGGCAGGGTGAGGGGAAGGAGGGAGAACTGGATTGAAATGAGAAGCCTATTTTTAGAACCTTGCATTTACATAATAGGACTCTGGGAAGCCACCTCTTGGTTAAAGTAGGAAGCTGTCAGAGGCCAAGGCCACCACCTCAGCCACCTCCCTGTTCCACCTCCCCTGCAGCTGGCCCTGGGGTGGGAGGTGCCAGAGCCTACATCCAGGGGTATGGCCAAAGCAGGCGCCTCCTTGGTAAGGCCTGCTTCTCCGGGGATCTTTTGGCCCTCTACAGAGACCAGCCCAGAGCAGGAAGTGCTGTGGTGAGAGGGACCCTGTGGGGCTGTCCCCTCCCCAGTCAGCAGGAGATGGGCACCTTTCAGGGGTGGCCTGGGGCCTGTACTCACGGGGCTGTTTTTCATTCGCTCTACCAGGTCCCAGGCCTGGGCTGGCATGTCCCTAGGTAGGAGAAAGAGAGAGCGGCGTTAGTGCTGGTTTAGGAGCGAGGACTCAAGATGTGCGATTTTGGCCTAGGTAGTGAGGTATTTCAGGAACTGTGATGTTACCAGTACACAATTCATTCCATTCTCAAGAAATCTCAGCTTTAACAATCACAGAGATGCCATGGACCCTGGAGCCACACTGATCTAGCCCCTGCCACCCAATAGTCCCATCAGCCACTCGGGTTGGGATTCTGTCAATCTTTCCCTCAGAGACTTTTCCTCAAACTCCTTCTTTGAAAGCCAAGCCTGTTCATTTCTTCTTCAGTTGCCTGTTTTAAAAATAACCTTTTGTATATTTGAGAAAAGTCACAGCGCTCAATTATCCCTCAGTTTTTGCCTTTCCAGGCTTAATGACTCCTTTAACTTTTACTTCTAAGTCCTGCTCTCTGCTCCTTTAATCTTTTTGTTTTTCTTCTCTGTGGTTACTTAGATTTCTGCACCATTCGCCATCTCCTTGCTTTTTTTTCCCCCCTCTCCAATAAAACAGGATGGATAGGATTAGTTCTCCCTCCATCCCCTGATGTCTGCCATAAATAAATCAACACCATTTGGTGTTCTGGATGAGTGATATGAATGCCAATGGAACACTACTCAGCCATAAAAAGGGATGAACTATTGGTATACCAGTAACATGGATGCATCGCAAAATCATTTTGCTAAATAAGTCAGATAAAAAAGTATATCCTCTTTGATCCCATTTATATACAATTTTTTAAAATGCAAACTAATCTATAGTGATGGAAAGAAGGTTAGTGGTTGCCTGGGGTGTGAGGGTAGGGACAGGAAGGAGCAGGAGGGAGAGATTACCAAGGGGCCTGAGAAAACTCCTGTAGGTGATGGACACGTTTTTCATCTTGATCATGGTGATGACTTCACAGGTACAATGTTAAATTGTATCCTTTTTGAGACAGGGTCTTTCTCTGTTGCCCAGGCTGGAGTGTAGTGGTGTGATCACGGCCCACTGCAGCCTCAACCCCCTGGAGCTCAAGTGATCCTCCCATCTCAGCCTCCTGAGTAGCTGGGACTACAGGCCCATACCACCATGCCTGGCTCATTTTTTGTATTTTTGGTAGAGACGGGGTTTCAGGATGTTGGTCAGACTGGTCTCCAACTCCTGGGCAATCCGCCTACCTCGGCCTCCCAAAGTGCTGGGATTAGAGGCGTGAGCCACTGCACCCAGCCAAATTGTATCCTTTTAACATGTGATGTTTATTGCATGTCATTTATACCTCAATAAAGCTGTGTTTAAAGAAATGTCTGTGAGAAGTTAGGTCAGCAAAGGGAATTCAGCCAATGAAAGCTTCCATGGAAGAAGCCATAAAAGCAGTAACTGGTGTGAGTTGGCCACTGAATATCTTTGGGTGTCCCCAGTAAGCTAGGTACGTGGCACCATCCCCACCTTGTTTCTCATTAAGGAGAATTTATAGATCTAGGATTGTATCCCATACATTATTGCTATTGATGAGTACATCAGAAAGCTAGCTATAAAGACAGACTTTCTTGGTCATAGGTGACCACAGAAGTGCCATTAACCTTTTAATAGGTTCAAGATGTGACTAAGACAATCCCTAGGCAATAAGCCCTCCTGGGTAGGAGGGGAAGTTACAAATACTGCTTCTTCCCCTCTTCCTAGCCATCTTCTTCCCATCCTTCAGGCCCAGACCAAGTCCTGCTTCCCCTTGAGCCTCCTCTCTGGGCTCACTGATCCACACATCCTGCATTTCCTTTTTCACCCCAGCGACCAGTGGTTCTACTTTCAGCTCTGCTACTGACTTGCTGTGTGAGCTTGTACAAGTGGCAGAATCTGGATAGAATTGACTTTTTCCATCTTTTAAAGGAAAAAGTTGGACTGGATGATTTCAGGGGTCCCTTCTGGGTCTGCATCTGTCCTTAAGACAGTGCAGTTCACACTGTGTGCTCTCCTGTTCTCTTAATTGCACTCCATGACGAAGTACTATATTGCTGCCATACCCAGCATTTTCTTTTGCAGAAAGTTACTTCCCATTTGTTTAAGTCTTCTTACCTAGAGTGCAAGCTCTTCATGGGCAGGGAGTTCATCTTTTATTTCCTTTGTATCTTTTATTTATTTTTGGAGATGGAGATTCATTCTTGTCATCCAGGCTGGAGTACAATGGCACGATCTTGGCTCACTGCAGCCTCCACTTCTGGGTTCAAGTGATTCTCCTGCCTTAGCCTCCTGTGTAGCTGGGATTACAGGTGTATACCATCAAACCCAGCTAATTTTTGATTTTAGTAGAGACAGGTTTTCACTATGTTGGCTAAGCTGGTCTTGAACTCCTGACTTCAGGTGATCCACCCACCTCAGCCTCCCAATGTGCTGGGATTACAGGTGTGAGCCACCATGCCTGGCCCTTTGTATCTTTGAGTAACCACCTTGGGGTTGAGTCCTTTGCAGGTGTTGAATGAATTATTATTGATTGATGGAAGGAAAGTTAGGTTAAAAAAACTTTGAAACTAAAGGTCATTAAATGGCAAACTTTTGGTACATTTGTACTGTGCTACTTTTCTGGTGGGTATTATGTACTGTACTACATTCTTTTCATGGATTATATGTCTTATTTAATGCTTATGACAACGCTGATAAATACTATTTTATCCCTATTTATTGCTGAAGAAACTAAGACTCAGAGATGCTAGGCAACTTGCCCAAAGTCACACAGCTAGCAAGTCTTGGAGCTGGAATGTAGACACAAATTACCTGAACCCACACCCTATGATATTAGGTACTCTGCTGTGGCACGTATGTTTCTCTTTAGGTGAACTCATCTGTATCTATGCTAATAAACAACAGAATAGAGATAAAGGAAAGTTATAGAGCAATTATCCAACCTTCCTTTCTTAAGTCAAAGGATTATTTTCCTTTCCCCTAACATCAGACATCAGAGATACCCACAAGAAGCCACATGTCTCAACTACTTCCCTGGCCACTGACTTCATCTGGCAGAGGTGCTGAGCAGCAGTCAAAGAAAAGGCAGTAAGAGAAGTGAAGTGAGGAAGGAAGAAGGGGTTTGACTGTCAACAGAGTGAGAAATCAACCCCTGGAAAATGAAGCCTGTACTGTACAAGAACAATAGAATGATGATAATAACAATGATGATAGCAATCATAATAACAGTAATTAGATGTTGCTATAATGACCCCACAAAGCCCAGTTTTTGCAGAAAAATAAGTTCTTCCTGCTCGTGACGTTGAGGAACTGACATCGCTTCCTGTGGCTTAGAGACTCAGAGCATGGGGCCCACATTACCACTTCTGAAAGGAACATTCCCGGTAAACAGAGTGAGTCAAGCCAGTGTCGTTTCCCTGGTGATCAGAGCATAGTGATCCTTCTACAAAGCATACACCCAGCACACTCCATGCAGAAAATCAGTGAGCCTGGTCAGGCATTTCAGCTTTAATTATCTGAGTTGTTGTCAACAACAATCCCAGTGAAAACAGCCACCATGCTGTTTTGGGGGCCCTGATGCCTAACTCCCTAGTGTCAGAATATAGCTTTTTCAGAGCCAAAGACTGAAGGGAGGTGGGAGAGAGAAAGGGCAGCTATCACCGGGGTCATGCACTCAGTTCTCCAGGTGCTGAGAACCACCCTGCACGTGTGACCTGCTGGGCAGGAGGTGGAGCCGGAGCCAGCAGGGACAGTGCAGGAGTCCAGGGCAGATGTGCACCTCCTGCTGCTCTGGAGAGGCAGTAATAGCACAGCTGTCAGAGCAAAGCCTCCTGATTCAGGCATGGTCTGATCCTGCCGCCTCTGATAACTTGCCGGATAATCTTGGTGGTTCTGGAAAGCTTATAAGCCTCAGTGCCCCTGTCCAAGGGTGTGAGGATCTCAGGAGTTAATTCACGTGGAAAGTCCTGCACAGCTGCTACTGCCCCCAGGACCAGGCTCCTGGATACCACCCTCCTCTCCTCTGGTTTCCCACCCTGATGTTTCAGCCTTGCCTTCCACTCGCCCTCCTGTATGGCATCTACTCACCTAGCTCTGGCCCCTTCTGCTGCCACATTTAGTCCTGCTGTCCCCTCCCAGGTGCCGGTAGAGAAGCCAAGAAGGTAAGGGTTGAACTTCTTCAGAATGTCTTTAGAGGAGGAGGAGGAGGGCACAGGTGAGAGCCTGCAGGACCCTCACAGTAACTGAGATGAGCATGCACGGTGGGGACACACGGGTGGGACACAGGAGTTCTGGGGATTTTCAGGGCTGGCTGACTTCCCTCATTGCAGATAACCTCCTCTTCCCCTCCTCTAGCAGGAAGGCCCTGGCCCCAGGGAGGATGGCCACAGTGACGGTGCCTCTCCAGGCTGCTACTTACTGGGCAGTGTGGTGTGAGTCTCCAAGTTCCCATCCCCTCCGATGCTGGGGAGGAGAAAGCATATTTATCAAAATCACGTCAACATGCTGCTCCGTGTGTCAACCTATGCATAAGTCAGAACCAGAACCAGAGATTCTGCCCCTGGGGCATCTCTCCCATCACCCTCAGGGGTAATGCAAGCACCACCGACTCTCCTGTCTCCCGCTGGGCCCTGGGGACCCAACTGCATCCTGGAGGGGTGACAGGGGAAACACACTACTCATGCCTCTCTGAGCGAGCATCATCCATTGAGCATGCGTCAAGAACATTCTCACCTCCAAGACAGACCCCTCCAAGATGTGGGTAGAGACCCCTCACTGGAGTTGTTTGGTCGAGCTCCCACTGCTGTCTATAAAAAGCAAAAAGAAATTTCAGGGTTGGGCTGAGGGCACTGGAAGAGCCTCCTCTGGCCCTGGAGTAGCAGCTGGGACCTGGATTTGCCTTTTCTAAAAATAGTACCAGCTTTTCTCCAGGCCACCTTAAACTTGGAGTGGTCTTGATACATTCTTCTCCCCAGTACTCTACCTACAACCAGTAACCAAGTCCTGTTGGCTCCGCCTTCCCACCCTCCCTAGCACCTGCCCCTTTCTTTTTGTTCCCTTTGCCATGTTCCTAATTCGAGACCCTCACCTCCTTGCCACGGGCAACACCCTGGCCTCCTGCCTGAGCAAACTAACTCCAGTTTCTGTTCCTCCTGAACACGCCTCTCTCTTCATGTTCCCCAACCCCAGTCCTGACCCTTCAATGAGTCTCCCTTACCTTCAAGATCAAAGCCAAATCCCTTCACCAATCTTCTGAGGTCACCATAATCTGGTTTCTACTTTCCTTCCCCTTGTTTGCTCCCTCCTTCCCAGTCCACACAAACCTTCAGGCCTAAGCTAATTACCTGCCATTATTTTGGAAGCCTGAGGGCCCCGAGCTGGTCTACCCCATTACCACCCACTCCCATCCCCTCCTGGAATGCTGAACTCCCTCCTTTCCACCACCTGACACTTCCAAATTCATTCTCTGAGACCCTCATCAGTTCCTATCTCCTCTATAAAGCTTTCTCTAAATGCTCTGCCTTAAAAAACAAAACAAAACAAAAAAAAACCCTTGAAATTTACAAAAGTAACATATGTTAAATGATACAAAGATTTAAACAAATGAATGATCTACCCCTACCTTAAGAATCCTGCCTCTTGCCACAGATTCCACACTCCCTCCTCACCCCTTACCCACATGCAAATACCACCAGAGCTCATTAGTGGTAAACAGACTTGTAAGTGCCTTTCCACATCTTTTTCCATGTTCACGCCAAAATGGAAACACTGCCACACATGTGGGGCTGGTGTTTGTTTCTACCGAAATAAATACCCTATTTTAAAAGTCCCATGTGGAGGGGAACAACGTATGCCGGGGCCTATCAGACAGTGGAGGATGGGAGGAGGGAGAGGATCAGGAAAAATAACTCAGGGGTACTAGGCTTAATACCTGGGTAATGAAATAATCTTTGCAACAAACCCCATGCCACAAGTTTACCTGTGTAACAAACCTGCGCATGGACCCCTGAACTTAAAAGTTAAAAAATAAAAACATCCAAGTCCTATATGTCATCTATGTGATTATGCATTTCTTTCCGCGTATGGTTCTTGTTTTTCTAGCCTGACAGGTTGCTGGGGGGATATGACTGTGTTTCATACCTTATTTCCCTTAGACTTGCTAATAGAGTATTGTTGTACACAGCAATGGCTAAGTAATCAGGGAACACAATTCACTTAGCAAGACTGTGCTATGTGCGAGGATCTGGGCTCCCTCTGCCCCAAAGCACATGTCCTTAAATGGAGTAGGGAGCATGGGGCAGTGTGTGTGTGTGTAAGATCTGCCACTCTGAGTCTGGGTAGATGGAGATGAGTCCCTTGATAAAGGCAGGCCGACTTGGATGAGTGCCATCACATACCAACAAAACGCCTGTGCCTGCCAACAGCGGGGAAGGCTGGGATTGCTTCTCCCTGGGAATTGAGAGGAGGCCTCGTGGAGGAGGGGGCTTTGAGCAGAACTGGGAAGGTGGCGAGACAGGGCATTCTATATCGCCTGGCTGTGTTTCAGTGTCTGACACAGGTAGGCCCTCAGTAACAGGGGCTCAGCACTGAATGTGGAGCCAGTGCTGGGGAAGAACAGATTTTGCACGAGGCCTGGCTGGACTCTGAGCTGCCCATCCTGGTTCACGGCTCACTACTCACAGTCAGAGAGTCACCCAGGGCGGCCACCACTTTGATGTCTGCTGGTTGGAGCTGGTGGACTAGGGGAGACAAGCAGAGAGGTGGTTGTGGGGGCTGGGGGTGTCTACCTTTTAAAGTACACATTTTACCAGAAGTCTATAACTCTGTCCCACTGCTCCCCATTGTACTTATTTTCAGCCTAAGGCTTTAGCAGTTTTGCCCCTTCCATTCATTCAGAGCAACCAAGGCACTGAAGGGAGTGGGCTTCATGGCTATTGTCCATCCTCAGAAGAGCCTGATTCACACTGGGGTGGTCCAGGAAAGTTCCAGCTGTGGGGACATGTAGCACAGGCAGGTTGAACCCCAATCCCTGACTCTATCTGCCTCACTGGGCAGGGAGGCCTAAGGGACTGCCACTGGGACTATAAGGAGACAAGAAGTAGCATTCAGTGGAGAGGTCTGTGCACCTCCAACTGGAAGCCCAGCTGTGGCTGCAGAGGCCGCGGGGCGGGATCTAGGTCTGCACTGCATGGGAATTAGCAAGTCCTGCTTAAAGCTCCAGGGTATATTTGTAGGGTCCTCCCCCAACCTGATATTTGGCAAGGCCCTTAATTGAAGGGGATGATGATATTTTCACTCACCAGAGGTTGGAACACTATTGGAAGCCTTCCACTCTGTACACACGAAGTCACTGCCCCAGTTCTAAATCAACAGGAGAAAAGATTCAGTGCCCAACACTCATTGTGCAGGGAGATAAACTTCAGCCCAAGAAGAACCAGCTAAGGGATTTTTGATGCAGGCTAGAAACGAGTCACCATACAGGATCATGTAAGGGAAAGAACTGTGAGCTATAGATGGGCTAGGAGGGAAATTAGGGGAAGAAATGGGTGTGTCTAGCTACCCCTATGCACAACCCATAGTGAATGTCCCCACATGTGCACCCACACACAACTTTTCTTATGCCAATATATCTACGCTTTGAATGGAGCCAGTGGCTGCCCCAAAGCAGGGAAGAAAACCATGAAGTCATATACAGGTGAGTCTCCCAAAGGAACACAGCATTTGGATGCCTAACATGAGATTACAGGTATGTGTGTTTTATAAAATTAAGCTAATTGACACTAATTATAATGCTAGAACCTAAACAATAATTAAAAGATTTTTAGAATAGTAACACAAAATATTTTACAATTGTAAGGCTCCTAGTTTCTGCCTATCTTTTCTGGATACCTGTATGTCTTTTTGCATATTTAACTTAACAGCCTTATTCCTTATATGTTTGTTAATTAATGCAAGCAACCCTGGATGCTTTTAGTAAATTTTATCTCTAACACAGAGCATATTTTCCAGGTGCTGGGGGAAGGAGTGGGAAGGGAAGCAGAGGGCACAGAAATGATTAGTACCAAAAATCTGGGGGCAAATTGAATATCTTCCCAAAGTCCCAAATATATGCATGCTGAATGCGGAGTAGGGTTTGACCAGGTTGACTGATTGTCCAGGAGTCTGACTGCCAGACACTATGAAAGCTTATCCATCTCTTCAGTCAGATGATGAAGACAAGCCTTGTTGAAATATTCCTATCATGAGGGAGCAAAAATGGAACTTTTAAATATTATTTGCTTAGTCCAATGGAATTTAGTTTTTTCCAAGGAACTGCTCAATTCATCATACTGATGGATTTCTTCTGTTGAAAGGTTTAATGAAATCAAGAACATGCTTGTGTGCAGATGACAAATACTCAGAGAAAATGCAACGTAAAAAGTTATTCAGCCATCAGCACATGAGATATAGCTCAGATAGTTGGTGAACCAGAGATAAGCGTATTCCGTGTAGATGAACAGACCCTGGCTGGAATTTAAACGTGCTCGTCTGTCACAAGGGAAGAACCATGCACCACATCCAAAATCAGTGCATCCAAATCCCCTGAAGATCTTAAGCTGCAGATTCTGATTCAGCAGGTCTGGGGTGGTACCCAGGACTCTGCATTTCTAACAAGCTATCAGGTAAAGCCTCTTTGTGCCTACTTTATCAGTTTTGCTTTTATTATTTTTAATTGACATATAAGTGGACATATTTATGAGGCATAGTATGATATTTTGATACATCTCTACAATGTGCAGTGATCAAATCAGGGTTATTAGCATATCCCTCACTTCAAATATTTATCGTTTCTTTGTGTTGGGAACATTCAAAATCTGCTGTTCTAGCTATTTGAAAATATATGGTAGGCCAGGCGCGGTGGCTCAAGCCTGTAATCCCAGCACTTTGGGAGGCCGAGATGGGCGGATCATGAGGTCAGGAGACCGAGACCATCCTGGCGAACACGGTGAAACCCCGTCTCTACTAAAAAATACAAAAAACTAGTCAGGCGAGGTGGCGGGCGCCTGTAGTCCCAGCTACTCAGGAGGCTGAGGCAGGAGAATGGGGTAAACCCGGGAGGCGGAGCTTGCAGTGAGCTGAGATCTGGCCTCTGCACTCCAGACCGGGCGGCAGAGCCAGACTCCATCTCAAAAAAAAAAAAAAAGAAGAAAAAAAAAAAGAAAATATATGGTAAACTGTTAACTATAGTCACCCTACTGTGCCATAGAACACTAGAAATTATCCTTCCTATCTAGCTATAATTTTCTGTTAATCAATTTCTGCTGTCCCTACTCTGCAACCACCATCCACCCTTCCCAGCCTCTAATAACCGCTATTTATACTCTACTTCTGTGAAGTCAACTTCTTTAGCTTCCGCATATGGTGAGAACATGTAGTATTTGTCTTTCTGTGCCTGACTTATTTCACTGAACGTTATATCCTCTAGGCTCACCCATGTTACCTCAGATGACAGAATTTTGTTTCTGTGGCTGCTTTGAGTAGAAAGCTGTTAACACACGCCCTTCTAGCTCTGGGATTTTTAGCTTTTCCAGCAGCAAAAGCAAAGACACATGAGACTGAAGAACTAAGAGGGCAGATCCAGACCCATTCAGCTCACCATTGTCTACCCAGCATTTAGCATGGTGCCCACTCCACGTAGGCATCCAATAGGTAAATGTTGAACCAGTGAAGAAATGCCTGATTCACAAGATGCAGCTGACATTTCAATTCTCATGGAATTTGGTCACTGGTTCAATGAGGACAAGCCTCCACTGGGCTAACGTGAGCCTGAGAAAATTCAGAGAGGCTGGACACAGCATAACCTGCAGCCAGCAATCTGGTATTGCTTGTACCGCAGAGCTTAGCATCCAACAGTTCTTAACAATTTCATATGGGTTAGTTTCTTCAGCTGGCTTATAAAATGTCTTTCCCCAATCACTCCTGCGGATGCCCAATCCATTCTACAGATACAGTCAGGGAGATCTTTGAAAGACATGAACCGGATCATGTCACTCTCTCCTGAGACCGCCAATGGCTTCCCACCTTTCTTCACTTGAAATCCAACGTTTTTACTCAGGAATTCAGGCTTTGTGTGATCTGGCTCCTTGGCACTCCTGATCTCATTTCCCCCACTCTCCACCTCATTCTCATGCCCCCAGTCACTCTGACCACCTCTCTCTTTCCCAAATACATGCAACACAGTCCCACTTCTGAGCCTGTGTGGTCCATGGTCCTTCTGCCTGGGACTGTGTTTCTGGCTCTCTGTGTAGCAAGTATCTCTTCATTATGCACATCTCAGTTTAAATCTCCCCGCAGAGAGGCCAGGCCTGCACGGTGCACCTGAATGTGCCTCCCATGCCCCGGCCCCATCACCCTCCTCTGAGCTGTCATCACTATCTGAAATGACCATGCCTAGCCATGTATATAAGATGCCTTTCTCTGTAGATTGTAAGTTACGTGAGGGCCGGGATCCACCTGTCTGGTTGACACTTCTGTCTTCCTGGAATAGCGTCTGGCACATAGTATGTGCTCAATAATTGTGAAACTCTACTGGGCTCTCACTTCTCCTGGTCTGGACCATGTTCAATACTTCTCTCCATGCCTTCTAGCCCCCAGCATGAGACTGGATATAGTATAGGTGTGAAACCGAAACTGCTGGTCGAACCCCATCCTGGTGACCAACAGACCTGATCTGGACCAGGCCTGACTGCCAGTCATGGTGTAGTCCAGGGTCCTCCAGGCCATCTTTGTGGTGGCCGTCCTAGGCTCACAGACATGGTCCATCCAATGGAATTAACCATGGGCTCTGAATCCTTAGCACTAGAATGACTGACTTGAACCAAACAAGGCCTAGGGGCCCACAGGAACATGAACATGAACATGAGCATGAACATGAACATGCCTCCACTTCCTTTTGGGCCCCACCCCTGAAATTGCAGTTCCCTCCCACTCAGCTTCCACCTTCTGAGAAGTGAACGCCACATCACACCCGCAGCCTCTCCCTCTTGAGAGGCTGAGCTGCTTAAGCAGAAACCATGTCTGTGAGCCCAGGATTGCCAAGGTCAAGAAAATCAATCCACAGGCACTTCCTCTGCTTAGGGGTTGACGTCAGGTAAGCAACTTGAGAACATGTTAGGGCAATCCTGGGGCTTCGTGGTTCGGGAGCCTTTTCTGTACATTCCAATCCCCAGTACGTAAGAAGCACATTTCTGCTTCAGTGAACACTCTGAAGCCTGTACCACACCCGAGCCCATGGCAGGTGGAAATGGTTTGTTTGAGAGATGCAGAGGTGAGTCAGGGGTTACCTCAGTGGCTGGCTTGGTGGGGTATGTGTAGTTACTGTTCCGAGGGGTTCTCAGGAAGGGCTCCTTCTAAGAGAAAAGAAACCACATGGAGAGGTTATCTGAGCACTGAAGTTTGCTTAAGAAGGAGAAAAACTAACAATCCTGCCCTGTAGATTTATTTAACATGATTCTTCTGCACTTATATAGAAAGAACTATATAAACATAATTTCATTCATTTTCCAGAGGGTTTTACATAACAGCTCTGGCAAGGGATGGACAACACAAGGCCTGCAGAGGGTTTCATACCCATTGTAGTCTGGGGTCTGCACTTCTGTGTTCCTCCTAGCAACTGAACAGCTCCCTAATCCTCAGACCTATCTATTTTCTCGGCTTTGTAATTTCTCTAGCAAGGGATTCATGTTTCAGCATTTTTTTTTCTCTTCCAGAAAGTATTATGATTATCAATATATTTGAATATCTGTTATGTTTTTTCTTTCTGCCTCCTTTGAACTATATGTCTTATCCTCTTTAGGTTGGGTTCCTGTATGTTAGTCATTTTTTTTTTCTTGTAAAACATCCTCCTCATTCTCTACTTACCTATCTGTTTCACAATCAGTTTTCACACAAGCCCAGTCAAGAACCCAAGTCCACCCAGTTGCAGGTAAGGGGTTAATTAAAGAAGGAAGAAGGAAGCAGACAAAGGAGAAATGGGGAGAAAGCTAATGAGAAAACGTAAAAATGACAGGGAAGCAAGATCAAGTTGATAAGACTGAGATCAGGAAACACCAACTGGGTCCAGGCTGTGTACTCCCACAAAATGTGTTCAGTGGAGTAGTAAGCCCATGGTCTGAGAATCTGGGAATAAAACAGAAACAAGCAGAAAAAACCAGGCTGGCACAGTGGCTCATGCCTGTATTCCCAGCGTTTTGGGAGGCCAGGGTAGGAGGATTGCTTAGGGCCAAGAGTTTAATACCAGCTTGGGAAACACAGCAAGACCCCATCTCTACAACAAATTACAAAAATAAATTAGCTCAACATGGTGGCATGTGCCTGTAGTCCTAGCTACTCAAGAGGCCGAGGCAGAAGGATTGCTTGAACCCAGGAGTTTGTGGTTACAGTGAGCTATAATTGTGCCGGTGTACTCCAGCCTGGGCAACAGAGTGAGATTCTGTTTCAATTAAAAAAAAAAAAAATTTAGACTGGGTGCAGTGGCTCACACCTGTAACCCCAGCACTTTGGGAGGCCAATGGGGGTGTTGATCACATGAAGCCAGGAGTTCGAGACCAGGCTGGACAACATGGACCCTGTCTCTACTAAAAATACAAAAAAAAAAAAAAAAAATTAGCTAGGTGTGGTGGTACACACCTGTAATCCCACATCCCTAGGTGTGGTGGTACACACCTGTAATCCCAGCTACCTGTAATCCCAGCTACTTGAGAGGTTGAGGCACGAGAATTATTTGAAGCTGGGAGGCAGGGGTTGCAGTAAGCTGATATCATACCAGTGCACTCCAGCCTGGGTGACAGAGCAAGACTCTGTTTCAAAAAAAAGGAAAGGGAAAACCAGAATGTTGGAAAAGTGATCTTGTCTCATACCTGACCACATGTACACAACCATGTTCTTGCCTGGCATTGTAGGTGACTGACTTTGCACCCCCCAAATGCCCCACTTTACAGATGAGCAGAAGCTGAGCCTGAGTGAGGAAGGGACTGCTTCCAGGTTAGGGAACAAGTGATGAATGCCCAACTGGGGCCAGAGCTGACCGGACCGGCCTCTTGCCTGGTTCCATTCCTCACATGGAGGTCAGGCCAACAAAAACCCTGTTGGTCAGACAGCGGGAAAGGAAGAGACTGGGAGGACAGAGTCCACCCACACAGAGCTCTCAGCCCCCGGCTCAGATCCTGGTTCCCTGAGGCACCCGACAAGTCTTCCCTTTCCTCTGGTCTCAGCATTCCTGTCTGAAACAGGGGCTGGTAACAGATATCCTTTCTTTTTCTTTTTCTTTTTTTTTGAGACAGAGTCTTGCTCTGTCTCCCAGGCTGGAGTGCAGTGGCGCGATCTCTGCGTCCTGGGTTCACACCATTCTCCTGCCTCAGCCTCCCGAGTAGCTGGGACTATAGGTGCCTGCCACCACACCCGGCTATTATTATTATTATTTTTTATTTTTTGTATTTTTAGTAGAGACGGGGGTTTCACCGTGTTAGCCAGGATGGTCTCGATCTCCTGACCTCGTGATCCACCTGCCTCAGCCTCCCAAAGTGCTGGGATTACAGACATGAGCCACCGTGCCCGGCCCCTGACATCCTTTCATGGAGAGGTACTCAGGGCCAAGTGGGAGAAGTGAGCCCTGGACCATCTACAACAGCATAAGACAGAAGAGGGCTTATGGTGGCAGGTCCATGTAGCTACTTGGGCTTGTCTCGGATTAACAGTAAGCATTCCCTCAGCATTCACCAACAGAGAGGGTGATCTGGGAGCATTCTATAACTAACTGACCCACCCTGGTTGAGCAGCCGAAGCGTTAGAGTGTTTCTAGGTGCCAGGATGAGGGGAGGAGAGAAAGAGACAACTGGCTCGGGTGGGGAGACAGACTTGAGAAGCTGAGGCAGTGAAGCATCAGAGAACGGTGTGGCCAGTCAGGGCAGCACCTGCTGAGGAACTGGGGCAAGATCTGGAGATGTAGGGTCCTCAGAGACAAGACTCAGTGGCATTCTCCCTGCACTTCAAAGGAGCCCAGACTGGGCTTAGAGAGTCCAGCGGCTGGAGCCAGTCCTACTGTGACCAGCATGGGAGGCACTGAGGGAAAGACAAAGCTGATCTTTTTGGAAGTGCTGTGAGTGCAACTGGAGAATGTGTTTCATTGAATCTGTTTGATCACAAGATCTACAGGTTGGGGAAAAGGAGGCAGAGCTAGAGGGCCAGAGGTCAAGGAGACACTAGAATGTGTTACAGACTGAGGCCGTGGCAAGGACAGAAACAGCCCAGGGTTGTGGCGGGTGCCTCAGGGCTTTCTCTCCACTCCCCACTCCCCTTCTTTTCTTTTTTTCCCAACTCCTATGTCCCTGTCTAATGGGTTTTTATTGGGTTTTACTGGGCTTGTTTTTAGCTGAGTTTATTGACCATTGACCACTTGGTACATGCGTGAGTCAGAGTGGTTTAAAGGCCTGGAGCCAAGCAGATGACGTGAAAGATGGGTTCGATGGAGCCTGACTGGCTTTTGAAGGCTAGGTTTGGAGGCCTCGTGAGTAAAAGGGGGGCCAACTGAATGGTAGCACAAGGCCAGCCATGCAAAGATGGTGTGGGCTGCCTGGGGAGGCAGAGCCCAGACAGCCTCCTGATGTGAGTCAGCAACGTGAGTCACTGGCTGCGGGACAAGGCCATTAACATCCTGGCTGCATTACTAGGTGTAACGTTCCACAGGGAAGGAGGCATGATTTTCTTCTCTTCTGTGCTGGTTGGATGAAACCAGATGTACAGTCGCCACCTTACAGGGGGCCACATTCCAAGGAGAAACACCCATATGAGGCAGGGGTTTGCAGCCATATGTGCAGTGAGTGGTTGGAACTGAGAAGACTCTCAGCTGGGTGTGGCAGTCAGAGGCAGGAGGACATAATGGCATTTCATGGGATGTCCTATGAGGTTTTCTATCGCATTCCATTAAAAAAGTGCTAGCACCGGGTGTGGTGGTTCACACCTGTAATCCCAGCACTTTGGGAGGCCAATGTGGGAAGACTGCTTGAGCTCAGGAGTTTGAGACCAGCCTGGGCAATAGAGTGAGACCCCATCACTATTAATTTAAAAAAACAAAAGTGTTGGTTCCTACCTACACTGATTTCAGGTGGTTTGAAAGCTCACCTTAAGAAAGTGTGAACATTTGGGGATGGAAAACATTAGGACAAATACCTAATGCATGCACAGCTTAAAATCTAGATGACAGGTTGATATGTACAGCAAACCACCATGGCGCATGTATACCTCTGTAACAAACCTGCACCTTCTGCACATGTATCCTGGAACTTAAAGTAAAATAAATTTTAAAAAAACTGAACATTTAAGCAGAGGCCATAGGGTGTCTTGGGAGGGATGTGGTAGAAGAATTCCATTATTCTCTGAGAGATTGCATCTACAGAAGTCTAAGGCCCTCCCCACTGAGAACCTAAGATTACGTAAGTCTATTGTTTCATGGTGGGAAGGTGGGACTAGGTAGCCTTTAACGTACAAAGTGATGAGGATCTAAGCCCCTGCAGTGGCAGTGGGAATGGGAAGAGGGACAGGTGGGAAGAATCCTATTAGATTCTGGAGGACTGGTAAGAATCCTATTAGATAGGGTCCCTGACATTTCGTGCCTGCAGAACTTGAAAACTCCAATGACACTGACAGAAATAGAGAACTCCTAAGAAGCAGAGAGTTTGGGAAGACAAAGAATTAGTTCCTATTTAGACACTCCTTGCTCAGAAAATTATTTTTTGAATGAATGTGAAGCTTGAGATGGTGGTGGGGTCATGGCAGGATTAGATTTAGAAGCTCTGAGCATCAAAAAGATAACAATGTCACCTATGTAATTCAATATAAAAACACTGCTAGACAGCAAACTAAGTTTAAGGGAATTTGACAGACTTCTGCTTTTTCTTACGAGAAAAGACAGGGTGTAATACATGAACTTATTTCAGCCCCCCTCCTGCTTGATCATACATTAATCTGCCTTTTGGGTAGCCTTATACCATATAGAGCATCCAAGGAGACATGTATTTTAAAGGTCGGAAATAGAGGATTGGATTTCGGGAAAGAAGAAACGAAGACACAGACTGAGAGACTGACGAATCCAGCACAAAGAAATTTCACAGGAAATCCTGGAAATGAATAAGTCTCAGAGTGAGAGGATGTGGAGACAGAGAAAAGAAAACAGAGGCCAGGCACAGCAGCTCACACCTGTAATCCCAGCTCTTTGGAAGGCTGAGGCTGGTGGATCACTTGAGTCCAGAGTTCAAAACCAGCCTGAGCAACACGGCAAGACCCCACCTCTACCAAAACAAACAAACAAACCAAAATTAGCTGGGCATGGTGGTGCATGCCTGCAGTACCAGCTACTCAGGAGACTGAGGTGGGAGGATGGCTTGAGCCCAGGAGTTCAAGGCTGCAGTGAGCTGTGATTGCTCCACTCACTTCCAGCCTGGGAGACTGAGCAAGACCCTGTTTCAAAAAGCGAGTGAAAAAGGAAAGAAAACAGAATGGAGACATGAAAATTGGAGAATGTCTACATTTTCAAGACTGGGGAAAGGGAAGAGGAGGGTCATTAAAGGCAGCAACCAGAAGACCAGAAAAATAAAGGTGATTTAATGTCCACAAACCCAGGAAGGAGTGAATTTCAAAGGGGAGGTGGTGACCTTTGACAAGGGCTTCAGAGAGGTCAAGAAGAACGAAATCTAAAAAAAGGACCAGGCATTCAGCCAGCTGCCCTGGGGTTAGGAAAGGACTGGGCAGAAAGCCCATTAAGGCAGAGTATAGGCTCAGTCCACAGAATGGCTAGTCAAAAGTTGGCTGTAAAAGGACAGTCCAACTTGAAAGTACAACAGAAATCCACGGTATGCTGTTAAGTCACCTTACCTGGCTCGCAGAATGTATGAGCAGTTAGACTGGGGATGGGAGGAGGCTGAGAAAGCTCATGCTCACAGCCATCTCGGCCTCCTGCCTCCCGCCCCCCACTGCGTCCTGCCTGTCGCCTGTTGCCTCTATGTTTAGACACATCTAGGACAAAAATATGTGCTGCCGGGCCCCTGTCAGCTCACACTGAGATACTGGTGGACTTTTATATCACTCCAAGGCACATGGGAGGGAGCAGATGGGACCCGAGGAATGCAGAATGCTCAGAACACAGTGAAGTTGGGCTGGCCAACAGATGGACCCTTTCAGAACGAGCTCCAAGGTTGCTTAGCAACACCTTCACCCGGGCTGGGCTTCTACTGGTTCCACGAGGCTGGATTTGCTCACCTCTGCAAATCAGTGCAGTGGCTCCATCAGGCTCTGTCTAGAAGGGAGGCGCTGAGCCCACTGTGCTTAACATGCTGCTGGGTGGAACAGCCTCCTTTTGGGGGTCTCTGCCTGATCTGGGGCAGAGCCTGGAAGCGGTTGCCTTGAAGCCCACAGTGACAGGGCTCTCCCTGACCCAGGGCTTAGGCTCCAACTCAGTACTCAATACACGTTTGTTGAAAGAAAGAGCAAATGATGGCTGCTTTTGTTATGTAATGGAAGGGGAGTGGACAGTTTGGAAAGGGCGCTCCGTGGCTGATATTCAGTATGGCTACAGTGTTGGTAAAATATTGAAATACCTACAGTATGGCTTATTGTGGCTATATCTGAGTCCCCAAATGCCCCCACTACCCACGTTCCCTGGCTTCTCCCCTAGAACCCCCAGGCATTCTTAGGAAAACAGTTAAAGAGTTTACACCTGGCACAGTAGGGGCCTCTAAGGTTTTGCTCCAGGCCTTTGGCCAGCATCTGACCACCTGGACTAGAGGCATCTGTGTTACACTAGTTGTTGCACAATCTGACAACCTCCTTAGCTCCAAGTACAAGACCCAGCAACTGAGCCCTCTACTACGACTATCTTCACTTCCCATCCCTTCTTCCTGCCATGCTTGCTCTCCTGATGGCACACGAGACTGAGCCTGAGCCCAAGACTAGGGTAGGGCAGGCAGCAGACAGGGAGCAGGCAGTGAACAGGGGTGCCCACTCTCTCAGGATTCCCAGCAGACACACGGGGGAGCTGCAGGTCCATTCCCCAGCAGGGAGGGTGGGAGAGGGTGGTGTGGCCGACCTAGGAGGGAAACCCAGCTTCCCAGATTGGGTCAGGCTTTCTGCTTTTATTGCTGCTGAGGGCTCTCTGGTCTTGGCCTTATTTGGTTAAAAAGCCATAAGACAGGGCCTAGAAACAGGAGCTGAAGACAATGTGGCTGAGAACCTGCCCCACCCCAGGCCTGAAGTCAAGCTGAACAACCACTTACAGATTCCTCCTTAAAAGGAGCCTGTAGCTGCCGTGTCCTTGTAGGCCCATCCTCGTCCCTCCTCCATACAGCTCTGGGCTCTGCCCTTTGCTGCTCTCCTCTGTGATCCTTTCCTTGTGGAATCTCCCTAATCCAGGCTCTCCTGTCTCCAGCCACAGCTCCTGAACCTGCTGGGGTCCTGCCTGGGCCCTCTAGCTGTAGTCAGACTTTTTCATCTGCCCCAAACACCGCTGCTAAAAGAAGCCTTCTTGCCATTTTCCTGGCATCCCGATGGCCTCTCTCAAGAGTGCACTTTTCTCACCAGGATCCCCTCCTTCTGCTGGGGCCTGGTCCTCCTCTCCCTGCTGCGTCTCCTATTCCCAATGGCGGCTGCACTCTCGTCTCCCCTCTCATCTCCCCTGTCCATTCTCATGGACTCCCCTCCATCCTCCAAATCTCTCAGGCCTCAGTAAGGGGGCGAGATGGGTGCTGAGGAAGCTGGGGTGGAAGACGAAGTGGGTAGGGTGAACTGTGTGTCCTGGTTTGTGGAGAGGAGCCAGACAGGTCCTCCCCTCTTACCTGAGTGGGGCAGGTGATGGGGATCTCTGCTCTCAGGTCCAGGGTCTCTGTTTTGCTTCCAAGTGGTTCAAGCTGATCAGGGAAGAAAAGAGAGACACGGGTGTAGTAGTTTGTTTCCATGGAAGTGAACATTCCCTGGCAGCATCCTGCAGTGGGGAAAGCTCAGAACTCAATTTCAGGGGGGCTTGGCTCCCGCTTCTGGCTCTGCCAGTTGCCAGCCGTGGGGTTTTGGGCCAGTCGCTTTGCTTCTCTGGGAGTAGCTTCCTCGGGGACTCATCATGCTTCTCTAGCAGGGATGTGGAGAGCCGTAAATGAGATAACATGGCTTAAACCACCTGACATGGTGGCTGGCACACAGGGAAAGTTGAATGAATGTGGGGTTTTTGGCTTGCGTTTCTGTAGAGAGGTCCCTCCTCAGAGTTCAAAGCTCTGAGGAGAGGGTGCAGCCGAGCTCAGGCCGAGCAGGCTCTTAAGGACTCCACATTTCCAACCGCATAGACGTCTACAGATGTGCCAGCCACTGCCCCCTCAGCCTCACTTACAAGTCTCCATTCTGTAGGGGCTGGTGCTCTGCCCTAGACTAGAACCCCAGGGAACAAGGGACACCCCACTTATTTTACCATATTGGCCCAAAGGGCTCTGGCGAGCTGGGAGTGGAATTTCTGACTTGGGTGGATGCAGTCTGGGGCGAAGAAGGACGTATCTGGGAGCCCATCCTGAAAGAGACCAATATACCCCCTCAAGATCCTATTGCTTCAGAGCGAGCCACCACCAGCGGGCCTGGCCCCTGGGACTGACCACTCAACACCTTCCTTCCCCTGGGAGTGCTCCAGGTCACCAGCCCCTACAGGGCCCTCTCACCTTAAGAGAGAGATGCAGGCGATCTCACACATAATAGTTTCAGGTGACCCCAACCCCAACCTTCCTTTTTGACCCTATAAGTGCCCCTTGTTTAATTAGAAAAGTGTCATATTTATTTGGGGGCACATTCATGTAATGCCTGAGGCCATGCCATGGATGAAGGAGTGAGATCCTGGTCCTGCAGAGAGTCTTGGCCAGACAGATGGGAAAAGCGACTTCCCAGCTTTTGGTCTGCTGGTCCTGGTGGTATTGGTGGGGAGAATGGAACAAAGCCTTGGGGAAGGCCTGCGTAGCTGGGTCCCCTGACACCAGCCTTTTTGTCTGGAGGTGCTGGGGGTGCATAGAGCTGCTCTCCTTCCCACTTCCCTCCAGTTAGGTGAGCCTCTTGGGATGGCAACCCAGGGGAACAGACCTCAGTCCTCACCGGGTCCACTCACAGATCTCTTCTGTTCAGAGTAGAAGTGCCAGGCAAAGGGCATGGCCCGGGTGGAAACAGAGAACCCCCAGAATGCTCCCTTGTAACCGCGGTGCTGCACACGAGAGAGACCACGTGTGTGGCAGAAAGCTAGTCATCCGGAGCTGGCTGTGTTCGTGTCGGCCTCCCTGTCCCTTACTTCCCAAATGATCTCTACACCTGTGTTCCATGCGGTTGATCACACTCATTTCCAAACACAGATGTGACAATTTTATTTACGGAAAGCACAGTGCCTGGCACTAGTAGGTGCTCAACACAATGGAGGCTGTTACAGGGGTCATGGGAGCCTCACACATACGGATACGGCTCAGGTATTCAGGGAGCCTGCACCTGCCAGCACAGCCCCTGGAAAGCTGTGTCTTTCCCATTTTATGCACATGCTCATGGAAGCAACTGGCATTTCTGCCTTGAATTTCTTCCTCTAAAAGAGCACCATGGGTGAGGGCAGGGGACATACCGCCAGGACAGGGAGCTGGACGTTCTGGAAGAAGGGCTGCAGCACCACCGAAAAGTCCTCCCGTGTGTCATAGCGGCCTGACTCCACCAGCTCACGCATGCTGCTCTGGAGACACACGCACAGGGTCTTCAGCACAGGCCCTGGGTGGGCCCAGGGCCCCTTGAGGCAAGAGCAGGGATGATGGGCAGCCCACCTCCCTGGGTGAAGGGGCCGACTCAGCCTTTCCCTTGAGAACACAAACGCACCTGATGGCAAGTCCCTTTCGAGAATTTGGAAACAGGTTGGGTCACCTTTTTGTATTGATTGTAAGTAGACTACTCTCTCTGAAGGGCTAGGCAGGAAGTCCCAAAAGGGATAAAAAACCTGGGAAGACCCGCCAGAGGCTCGGCACCTGCCTTTGGAGTGGGAGTGTCGGGGAGGGAAAGGGGGTCTCATGAGGCATCCAGGGCTCCGGGCCAGGAGTTGGGGTTAAGCCTTCAAGGGTAGCTGGCACATGAGGGCTTTCCCACCTGGATCCTACTGGGATGATTCCAACCAGGGGGCCTGAGACAGCACAGTGACGTGAGACAGAGGAAGGGAACCAGGGTGCTCCCCGTCTCCCCGCAAGCCCTGACCAGCCCTTCCTTCCCTGGGGGCTCTGGGCTGTGTGTTAGAGTGAGTGTCGGGGAGAGGACACAGGATGGTCCCTTCTTGGTCTTACCTGGTAGGCTCGGCTGAAGGACCCCAGCCTGGCCAGCTCTCGGGAGTTCTCCCGCAGGGTCAGAACGCAGTTACACAAAACGCTGCACAAAGATGGGGAGGCAGGAGGCCCCAGAGCCTAGGCTTCCATCAGGTGCTGGTTCTGATTGCCCAGGTTCAGGGGAGGGGTGGAGAGGCTCCCTTCCACCCTGGTTTAGGAGCACTGAAGTCTTGAGCTCTGGCGCACATGCTCAGGGGCAGGCTTCAGGCCTGACAGGGGCATTGGAGAAAGCCCAAGGGAGGGAGCCGGTGTGGGAATCAGGACCCTCTCAAACCAACAGAGCACAAGTGTTGGACTGCAGGTGCTGGGCCTGCAACCAATTACTCAGCTGAGCAAATGAATTTGGGCAGTGAAAATTTAGTGTTTAATTAAAAAGAAAATGCATCCTCTGGTATTGGAGCTGGTATTTTTGGGCCTCTGATGCTATGCCCTAGACCTCTCCTTCATTCACATAAGTGCCCTTTTCATACTCATCACATCTACTTAAAAGAGAGATTTCTAAAGCACTTGAAACAATGCCTGGTACACAGGAAGTTCTGTAAGATTTGCTAAGTAAATAGATGTGTAAGATACAAAGAACAATAAAACACACACCCATGTACTTATGGCCCAGTTTAAGAAACAAAACATTCCCAGTTTGAAACTCCCTGTGTCCCTCCTAATCCTCTTCTTCCCCTGAAGGTAACTGAGTTGCTCGGACCTTTTCCTTGCTTTCTGTTACAGTTTGACCACACATGTCTACATCCCTAACCACTGCCCATGTTCACAGTCTGGGCTATCCTGTCTCTTAGACACCAGCCTCTGTCCCAACTTCGATCCCTCCCCTCTGTGGCTGCCTGGTATCACAGAAGTTCCTGCCAGGCACCTTGAGGTTGGGTAACAGGGGAGTCACGGCTCCAGCCTCCCGGAAGGGGATCGTTCTGGCAGGAATCCTCCTTTACAGACTTGGACACATGGATAGACCAAGTCGCAAAGACCCTGAGGCATCACCACTGCCTGTGGGCCAGACCAGGAGGTGAGGGCATCTCCAGTGTGGGGACAGCCAGGACCTGCCTACCTGGCCTGCTGCACTGGGCACTTGTCCGGGTTTCCCAGGAACACCTGCCGCATGACACTGGGGTTCAAGAAATCCACGAGGTTGACCAGGGCTCTGGGCACCTAAGGGAAAAGCTGCGGATGAGAGGGGGGCTCTGGGGGCTTCTTCCTGGGGCTGTCTCAGGACCCTGAGGAATGGGTTCCTTTAGCAATCCAGCTTGGTCTTTCTGGAGTTGAGTTCTGAGGAGTCTATACAGGGCTACCTCGTAGGGTCTTATAGGCCATACATCACACAACTCCATGGGTGCCACCCAAAGGGGCTGCAGCAGCAATGGCACCTCCTGGAGTGGGACAATAAAGGCTAAGAGATCATCTCTGTTTGGCCATCATGCAGTGAGCCCAGATACATTAGAATTACCTTTGGTGAGATAGGCGACCTGTTCCCTCCAGCCCAACCTGGCCTAACTCTGTTGAGTAGGCATGCGGGCTCAGCCCACCAGAGGAGCATCTGGTGGTCAGAGTGCCCTGTGTCAGGCAGCCAGGGCAGCTTGTCCTTGCCAGAGGATGGTGGTGGTGGAGGGGGAATGTGCTGCTGGGTGCAGGACCAGACAGGAGCTTGCTCTAGACCCACCCTGCGGCTCAGAATGCAGTGCCCCGCCTGGGGGCCACCTGGCTGCTACCACCAAAAAAATGTCCCAGATAGTAGTAGGGAGACATTAGACAATTCCACCGAGTGTCCCAGGTAGTGTTGGGGGAACAGCCTTCCCTTCTTCAGACCTGAGACCCTTCTGGGCTGATTCCACACAGAATAAGCTTTCCTTGGGGTTCTGAAAATGGAAGGAACCCATGCCCCTGGCTGTCTCCTTGAAAGAAGGGGGTTCTTCTCCTATTCTTTCCCCCCATCCACCTTCACCCTCACAATGCTTGAGCTGTTACCAGCTTACGGGAGCCCCCTACCCACCTCTCTATGTAGGACATCCAAGGCATCGCGGAGATGGTCAACAAAGTTGGCTGCAGAATACAGATTCTAGAAAGAGACAGGAAGGAGGAAGAGGAGAAATTGATGAGGGTGAGAGGGCAGTGGAGGCAGTTCTCAACTTCCCTTCTGGCTCCAGCCCTAAGGAGTTGTTCCCCCTCTAGCTTCCAGCTGTGGCCAGCTCACCACGTCAAAATCTGAGATGAATAGTTGACTACTTGCTGTTGTCAAAGATGGGCCAGTGGGAAGACTAGAAACTTTAGCCAGAGCTTTGGTTCAGGAGTAGAAAGTGGAGACTTCTCCTACCAATTGCTTGCTACAGTTTCCTCTTTCTGAATTCTCAGGAGTTGTAAGAGAGAGGAGTAGAAATACCATATATCTGCCACATGCTACCTCACCACCTAGGACATGGAGATGGTGCCAAGAACCTGGAGGGTGGTGGGGTAAGAAGTGTGTGTGTGTGTGTGTGTGTGTGTGTGTGTGTGTGTGTTGTATGTGTATATGTGCAGACATGGGTGTAGCTGGATAATCCTAGGATTGGTTTTAGGAACTGTTCTCAGGGAAGATCTCCAATGCCTACTGGGCAAAGTTAGGAACAACACGTAGGCCTGGACCTGGCCCCCATTACCGAATCCGTGCAGTAGTCACATAAATCTCTGCCTCCAATCAGCACTGTGATGACCTTCCAATCTTCATGGAAATTTACTCTCTATATGGAAGGAGGAAAATGCTTGGTAATTTCCAACAAGGAAACAAAAATATCCCTGCCCTAGGAAGTCCAGTCAACCCTCTATAACATCCTTGCCCACTTGAAATAATGGAATCGGCATCTCTGAACTGAAGGAATTTTAGAGGTTTATTTATAGACCACAGAATCTTAGCATCAGGATGGATTTTCAGTGTCACTGTGCCCAGCAACAAAGCTCTCCACACTGACATAATCTCCTCCATAGGACCTCTGTCAGGGGGCTGTCCGACCACTGCTTGAATGTCTCTAATAATACGGGGCTCACTGCTTTTCATGGCAGACCACTTCATTTGAAGACAATTTTAGTGAGTTAGAAAATTAATATTTAGAAATAACCATAAATCTGACTCACATGGTCATCTTTCATCTTCTGCATCAGAGTTTGGACTTGGCTCATAAGATCCCTAAGAAAGAGAGAAAACCCATTCTTCTGTGGAGGAACAGTACCCATAGTTTTCCTCCTCAGGGGCCTGAACCAGAGGCTTCTACAGTATCATCCCCACTGCATGAGCTGGCAGAGATCCCAAGGCTCAGAGACCAGGAGCGACTTGCCTCTTCTGCAAAGTTATTACAACAGATAATCATTTGAAAAGCCAATGATGTGTCTGTCCTGCAGCCGTAGTCAAAGGTACTGCCAATTATATTGGTTACTCATGGTCTCCTTTCTGGGACTCCACATGCAAAAGGGTTTTTAGGATTCCATGTGAAGAAACCATTCATCTCTTTTGGAAGACTAGTTTAGATCCTAAAATTAGACCTATGAAATTTTTAGCATGCTTCCTCTTTTCACTCCGGCTGCCAGGAAGCTGAGTTTGATGCTCAAACATAATAAACATAAAAATGTTCATATCGACACAGTTACTTCTTTATTTCCTCCAATGGCTGTGATTTTTCTCGTACATATATATATTTTTGTAAACTTGTCTAAATGCTTCTTTCAGAAAGAGGTAGGGAATCACATGTGCTCTACACATGACTGGGTTTATAATTTATGGAAGGTGGCAGGCCTGGTGGCTCATGCCTGTAATCCCAGCACTTTGGGAGGCTGAGGTGGGAGGATTGCTTGAGCCCAGGAGGTTGAGACCACCCTGGGCAACAGGGTAAAACCCTGTCTCTACAAACATTACAAAAAACTTAGCCAGGTATAGTGGTACATGCCTGTAGTCCCAGCTACTAGGGAGGCTGAGGTGGAATGATTGCTTGAGCCTGGGAGGTGAACGTTGCAGTGAACTGAGATCATGCCAGGGCACTCAGCCTAGGTGACAGAGTGAAATCCCATCTTTGAAAAAAAAAATGTAGGCCGGGTACAGTGGCTCACGCCTGTAATCCAAGTACTTTGGGAAGCTAGGTGTACGGATCACTTGAGGTCAGGAGTTTGAGACCAGCCTGGCCAACATGGTGAAACCCTGTCTCTACTAAAAATACAAAAATTAGCTGGCTGTGATGGTAGAAGCCTGTAATCCCAGCTACTGAGGAGGATGAGGCAGGAGAATCACTCCCGGAAGGTGGAGGTTACAGTGAGCTCGTGCCACTGTACTCCAGAGATTGTGCCACTGCACTCCAGCCTGGTTGATGGAATGAGACTCTATCTCAAAAAAAAAAAAAAAAAAAGAAAAAAAAATTACAATTTGTGGAAGGAATAGATTTCAGGCACCTGAGCTCCCCATTTCCACTTGTTCAGGGCCCTGTTATAGACCTGGGTGGGATGGATCCATAGCAAGGTGAACTCCCAGGACATAGCGGTGGGACCATCTGTCCCCAGCTGTTTCTATTACCAAGAGTCTTCCCAGGCTGAGGGAGTAGGTCTGGGGGCCACACCCCTCAACCAGAAGGTTGAACAAGAAGATGACATGTGACAGAGGCTCAGATGGCTGAGCCAGGAGCTGCACAGAGCAAGAAGACCTAGGCTGCTGGGGTCTCTAGGAGCAGGGTAGGGGCCCCCTTGGAGACCATCCCAGGAGGCTGGCGGTTGCTCTTCTTTGGGTGCCTCTGGGCTTCTCCATTGCATTTCTTGTTAGTTCCATCATGGGGCTAAGGAGGGGACATGACTCATTACTCCACATGCCTCTAGGGCCAGAAGGCTTGCCCCATCCATTTGGTTGGCCCTCTCTGATCTTTTTGGGGAACTGCCACTTGTGAGGTTCTGCGGGGAGTGGATCTCTCTAGCACTGTTGTGCCTTGGTGAGTTGTAAACATTGGATAAGGTTAGTCGATTCGTCCAGGTATGAGAACATGCTGCACATGAAGGCAAGGTCAGGAGTTGAACCCGTAGGGGCATCACATCTCTCCAAGGCCACAGCCTCTCTAGCCTGTTACAACCTTCGTCACAGGGCAGCAGGGAAGAGGGCAGCCTGAGCCTCACAAGTGGCTAAGTGCCCCTTTGCACGTAGAGGCCAGCACTATGATCTTAAAGGGTACTATTCGCATTCCACTCCCTACCCTGCAGGCTCCCTCCCTCCCCAAATGCCGTACTCAGCCTTTGCTCCAGGAACAGCTTGATTGAGGAATGCATTCATGTCACTGGCGTCACCCGTGCCCACGGCGTAGCCTGTGAGGTTTCTGTTAAACTCCCGAAGGATATCTGGAAGAGGAGAGGGCGAACAGAATGCAGACGGCTCAGAACAGAAAGCAGGATAGCTTCTCTGGTACCGTGGGACCTAGGACCCCAAAGTGGGCTGTGTTATCATCCTCATGCTTCCTGGGGAGAGGCACGGAGGCAGTGTGTGTCCTGGACATAAGCTGCAGCCACCCTAAGTTGAAATGACCTGATGACTATGTGGGCCAGGGTGGCAAGAGCCTCTCACTCTTGTATTATATTGTATTAATACAATTACATTACATTAAAAATACATTTTTAATACAATTCACAGTGCATTGAAGGGTCACTACCTAATTTGTCTCAGCACTTCCTGGGCCTCTTGGAAAAACCCGAGGCTAAGAATAGTGGGTAACTTGTCCTAGGTCACCTGACAAGCACATTGGAGAGCCAGAGATTGAACCCAGATCTTCAGGCTCTAAATCCAGTGTTTATTCTACCCACCTTGGCTTTTTCATAGCCTCCTGTCTCCTACTTAAAGAGTGGGCCATGAGGCCGATGTCATTTGTTCCTTTGCTGGGAGGCACTCTCGGGAAACCAAGGGGCCAGATAGATGGAACAGTAGACAGATTCAAGCCCCGAATGGCTACTTACTAGGTAAGGTGGTCACATTCTCCAGGAAGCCGTCCCCTCCTGAACTGTAGGGCGTGAGCAAGCCAGTGAATGAGAGGGAGAGACAGATTGGTTGAATCAATCTAGAAACTTGACAGAAGCGCAGCCCCCACCCTTCTTAGTGCCCACCAGCACCTTTGAGACGGGCCAGACCCATCTCTTTGTGTTTGAGGAATTCTAAGAAAATTTTGAATTCCCTAATATATTGGTTCCCTACCGAACCCAGGATTTGAAGATGAGAGAGCTGTTTCCTTACCAAATCCGGGGGGAGAATGCTTAGCTGAGTATATACTACGTGCCCAGACATGCACTAGATTCTGTTATTTCACATCTCCCAACAAGCCAATGATGTAGATGTGACTATGTCCATTTTACAGAGTAAGAAAATAAGGTGCACACGGGTTAACTTGCTAAAGGTCACTGAAACCCAACTTGAGCTGGAAGCCTTTGCAAAATAGATAAAGCTCTTCTCTGCTCAGTAGTCAGGTAAATTCCAATGGAAGGTTCAGAAGAGTGGCCGCTCACTACCTTTCAATGCCCCATCTAATATTCATTTAATCTAACTTCAAGGTACACCCTATTTCCTTTTATGCATTTATGAATAAATTGAGTATGACACACAGAAGTAGTACTTCTATTTTAACAAAATCTGATATTCATATATATGGTATTTACTGTTCTTTTTCTTGTCTCTTTTTCGAATCCCAGCATGTTATTCCAGGCCAATGGATTTTAAGAACATGGCCTTAGCTTCCAGCCTAGCAGCAGAGACTTCTAAGGGACAGGCCATGAGTCATAGTTGTTCTTCATTCATGGAATGCTTGGAATGAAGTGGACTGTTGCATGCCAGAGTGGTCAAGGACTTAAGTCAGAGGCTCTGCAAGCAATTCAGGTGGTAGAGAGAAGGCAGATGCCATAAACCTTGCCCTTCTCCTTCACTCAGTTCTTGCTCCCCACCTTTCCATTAGATGTCTGAGCCTAACTTGCTCAGTGGATGGGCATTTGTTTGAGCATCTGATTCTTTTCCAGCTCTGCATGAAGCTGTTGCTTTCTGATCCTTCTTTCTCTGGACTAAAGGCACCCAATGAGAATATTTTACATTTGAAAAGAAATTATAAGTCTATATACCTCCGCCAATCACTGTGTTTTAATTCTGCCTCCTTTTTTCCTCCAATAAAGATATAAACATAGACATGCAAACACAAACGTATCAAGTACTTCCTACTGTAATTTCTTGTTTAAAGGTATCCTCGTTTTAAAACAAGTATGGTGGCTGATCAAGACTAACAGTCTATGAAAATCTCTCCCTGACTTCATTTTAAAGTGAAAACTTCCAGGAGAAGAAAACAATTATGATAAATAAACACAAAAGCACAAAAATATTCAAACTCTCATTTTGATCAGAACTGTGTGAAACGTGAAAGGAAATAGACCCATATCAAACAGCTAGTCCACCTTAGACCCTTCAGATGAATATCATTTATGTTACACTATGAGCTCAATGGCTGGGCTCTACACTGTTGTCACCTAATGTGTACAGAAAAATAGAGTAGATGCTCAATAACATTTGTTGAAGGAGTTTCAGTCATGTGAGATTGAACCCCTAGTTAATAAAACAAAGGCATTTTTTTTGGTAAATTTTATTTTGGTCCTTTGGATGATCCCAAACAAGCAAACTTATTTCAGTGGAAGAAAAGGCAATGCTCTCAAGACCTCTGGGCCCGCCACATTGTTAAACTGGCCAAAGCTGGAACCATTCACTATAGAATCTCACAGGTCAAGGGACCTTGGAAATATTCATAGCCAAGCCTCTTCTGCAGGTCCTGTTCACAGCCACCCACTCCCCACGAGATCCACTCTTTTCACTTTGTTTCCTAGGGGGAAGAGGCTCAAATTGCATTCTTAACTGATGTAGTACCATTAATTGCCTAGTTTTTCCAATCTAGAAGCTTTAATGGCTCAAAAATTGCTTTTCTCAGATGAGTCTACTACATGAACACTTTCAGGAGATGTTAACAGGTGTTATGAACAAAGAAAATGTTCCAGAATTAAGGGAAACATTGGATTAAACAGATAAAACTTAAATAGATTTCTGCATTGCAGGCCTTCTCAGAGCCTTTAATATACTAATATGCACATGAATTCCCCAGAGGAAGGCTATAGTAATGTTTCCCCCTCAAATACAAGGGATTTTCTCTTCTCCAGGAATAGGTCTGGAGTTAATGTTCCATGGAACACACTTTGAGACACAGTAGTCTACATATTCTATCAAGTGTCAAGTTGTCTCTTAGACCCTGACCTAGAGCTTCCATCTTTAACCCACGTGCATTTGGGGGAAGCTATTTGAAACATTTAGGACAAATGAAGGTTTAAAGGGACAGCAGCCATTGAACCTGAGGCCTTAGAGCTAGAACTAGAAGACTGAGACATTAGGCTGTAATGGACTTCACTTGCAGGAAGAAACAGAGCAATGACTGAATTTTCCCATTGCCGCAGAGAGAAACTTTTAGTAGAGGATTGCTGGTTCATATCTGAATCCCACGAGCCCGGCTGGTCAATCTGTTTGTAAAGTTGGGCACATCACCTCAACTTACCCAGGTTGCCCCACTAGGTGCACGTCGCGTATCTATCACCTGCAATGTAGTTTGTCTACTTTGATTTTTTTTTTTCCCATGCCTTTTTTTCCCCATGTATGAGGTCATTGCCTTCTTTAGCTGAGACCAAGGGCAGCCTGCCACAACCTCATGCTCTTTCTTGATTGTAATAAGCTCTGCTTTCTCTCCTCTGTTTTTTTTTTTCTCGTAGCCTCATTAGGAGCAGAGTGGTGAGTCAGTGAGGCTCTGATTTGTTCCGTGGCAGCCTGTTAGGACCAGGTACCCGACCAAGGACTTGTGGAAACACAGGGACCTTGGCACAGGAAGGCACTGACCTCTGTTCTTGAGGGGCTGATATCCTCAAGCTAAGGACACCCTAGGTCCTCATTGCGGGTGGTACAGGCTGAGTGATGGCGCCTCCCTCCCACCCTGGAAACCCACACTCTCTGGGACTCTGGTCAGGTCTGGCCAGAGAACCGTCACAGTCCTGATCACCCCCTCCCTGCTCCCTGTCACTTCCCCAGGAAGCAGATTGACTCAGAAGAAAAGGGAGGCGGTAGCAAAGGTGTTCTCCTGGCTCCGCCGCTCAAGAGCACGCTGCCCCCTTGTGGCCAGCTTCATTCTAGTTGTTTTCCCAGGTAAATTCTGAGCTACTAGCCACTTACTTTGAAGCCTACAGGAACGAGAACTTTATTAGGAAAGAAAGAAACTTGAGAATATCTACACGCAACCGCTCGCCTGACACACCCTGAGCTTCTCCACTTCTGTGTTCGGGATGCCCTTTCTCACCCTTTCCTCTTGTCGAATTGCTAATCTTTCAAGACATGGCTGATAGTGATTGTGTCTTGTTTATGCCCTCTTGAAGTGTGCAGTGGGTTTCAGAGGTTTTCTGTGCAGATGTGTACATATATGTAAAGGCAGTCGTGTGACTACAACATGAATAAACACATAAAGACAGTAAACAGAGACGCAGGAACACCACGTGTACACGTATACATGCAAGCAGGGAGGTGAAGATTCAGGGATTTGGTGCTTTTCTGGTGCATTTCCTGTTGGATTTGCTGACCCAGGAGTCTGATAAGAACCCTGGTTTACTTTCTCTGCACAATCAAAAAAAAAAGATTATCAACAGTAAAATACCCTCTCCACTCACCAAATGTTCACATTTTGCAGAAATATATCGCTTTTTCTTCCTGAAAGCCCCTTCCAGACCAAGTCTTAGACCTCCGGGATTTACATATTTACAGGAGACAAAGCCACACCCAATCTCTGTTGTAGGGGGAGCTCCAGGAGAGGCCAAAGGTTAACATTACCTGTATGACAGTCCCCGATACTGTGTGGTGACATCGGGGAGGTCGTCTGGTTTGGAGCCAATTCCATTGCCAGCCTTTGAAAATATACCAGAGTCCACAGGAAAATTAGCAAGTCAGAGAACAGGGAGGCCATGAATGTGCAGGGCTTCCAAAGAGGGGGTTCCCAATGCACTCGTGGTGGCAGGAGCAGACACGGGACCAGGAGCCCCCGGCTCTAAGTCTGCCATCCTCCTCTCCAGCTGTGTGCCTTCTCCAACTCTCAGCTGCCTCCTTGCTGAGCTGAGGACATACCCTGCTCATCTCACAGGGAGTGTTTTGGGGACCAAACTGGATTACAGTTGTAAAAACCGCTTTGAAAACTCTCAAGTGCTTTACAAATGTGAGAGTGTTAATAATATTGTTCCCAGCGTTATGCCCGTAAATTTTTTTTTTTTTTTTTTTGAGATGGAGTCTTGCTCTGTCACCCAGGCTGGAATGCAGTGGCATGACCTTGGCTCACTGCAAGCCCTGCCTCCCGGGTTCACACCATTCTCCTGCCTCAGCCTCCTGAGTAGCTGGGACTATAGGTGCCCGCCACCACGCCCGGCTAATTTTTTATATTTTTAGTAGAGATGGGGGTTTCACCGTGTTAGCCAGGATGGTGTCGATCTCCTGACCTCTTGATCCACCCGCCTCGGCCTCCCAAAGTGCTGGGATTACAGGTGTGACCACCGCGCCCGGCCGCCCCTAAGTTCTTTATGAGCATGAAGAGAGAGCTCATTGGCTTAAGCAACTGCAGTGGACAGATTTCTCCTAAGTCTCACGTTTCTCCTCTTTCCCTCTGGGGCATTCTGTAAGGTATCCTCAAGGCTTTGGACATGCTGCTGGAAAGTGATGATCTGGGATAGTAAAATAGCCCCATTTCTTGGAAGTTAGGAGCAGAGCTTTATCCACAACTAAGGAGTCCTTGCTGCTTTCCATGCAGATGGAAAGAAGAAACAGATGTGAGGATCTCAGCTGATTATAAAGCGTAATCCAAAGGAAAAAGAGCACCCGCACAGGGAGGTTTAGGAGAATTTTGAGTCAAAATGACATATTTTTACATATATTAAAAAAAGTGTTATTGGGTGTTCAAAATCTCTGCCCTCTGAGACAATTCAGTTCACTCTGGAAAAAGATGTCCTCTGCATATCTGTTTGAGAAAGCGGCCGCAAATCGAATCATTGGCACGCTCTTGGATTGACAGAGCCAGGTAGAGGGGCAAGACTAGGCAGAGGACAGGCATGCAGGCCCTTAAGTTAAGGGGACTGGGATCTGGAGCTGACCTAGTTATTCCCAAACCACCCAGGGCCCAAGAGTCCTTACGGTCAAAGAATCCCCCAGAGCAGCCACAACTTGGATGTCTGCAGGTCTCAGAGCATGCACTGGAAAGACAAGCAGACACACTTAGGGCTATAGGAGGGAGGCTGCAGTCAGACTCTAGTGCCTCTGGCTTCAAGCAAGATCCGAAACGCAATCTGCATGAGCACAGGGCCGTGCAGGGCTGGGCGTGCAGACTGCCACGGAGGCAAAGTTATGTGAGGACAGTTTTCCCATAAGACACAACTGATCCTGGACCTTGTGTGCAAGGTGCAGAGAGGGAAAGAGAGGTGCAGAGAGGGAGGAGGGAGAAGAAGAAAACTGGGGAAAGGGAGGAGAGGCAAAGGGAAAAGGAAGGAGGGAAGAAAGAAGAGAAAGGTGGGAGGGAGGGCAGGGCAGAGTAGGAGCCCATTTTAGTGCCAGTGGTCATGGGAGATGCCAGCCATGGCCTGAGTGCACAACTAGACGGGCATCAAACCACACATGACGAGGTGCAGGACCTGACGTGCAGCCCGTTTAGAGGTGGGTTCTGAATTTCCACCGAGAGTCTGAGAATAGTCATGTCGGGCCTTTTTCTGCCCCCACATCTCTTCTGAAGAGCCCAGGGAATCTTCCAGGCCCTACTGCAGGCAGCAGTGATTGCAGAGCCTGGGGCCACAGAGCCACCTTCCTCTTGGGACTCAGGCCCACCTCTGTGCTGAGGCACCAAGGGTGTGCTCACAGGGCTCCTCCACTTGTGCTCCCTCTAAGAGGTGCAGGTGGGCAGGAGACAGCTCCTGGTCCTAGGTGCCTTGGTGCCTGCTGGGCATAGTGTCACCACCAGCCAGAGTGGTGCAAAACAGGGACTCGTCCCAGGTGACCGCCCAGGCAGACAGCAAGCACTGGCCATCGCTCTGCCGTTTAGTGAGTGTGAAAGTCAGTTCAGAGGACTCACTGGCATAGAAGCCCCTGTGGAGGGGCCCTGGGTCCTGCTGTGCCATAGGGGGCTTACCTGAGGTAGGGGGCGAGGCAGAAGGGGCTCTGTCCCTGCATGGCAGCCAGGTCCCATGACCCTAAGGGCACAGAACAAATCCCAGAATGTCAGGGTTGAAAGGGACCAGAAAAACTGGCTATCAGATGTATCCCAAGAGCTCTGAAAAATACAAATTCCTGGGTCCTACTCCTGGGGAGGGGCCTCAAAAGGGCTTTTGAAGAAGGCACCCTAGGTGATTTTGAGTATCGGCCACAGGTCGAGGTCCACTCATCTAGTTCAGACCCCTCCACTGTCCAATGCAAGAATCAAGGCAGCCACAAATGACCCCACCCCATAGCAGCTACTGCTCCTGCACCAGCTCTACAAGGAGGGGATTTCTCTTCACTTACATCTCACTGCAGCTGGGATTGGGTTGGCTGGATGCCTTCCAGCTGTTATCCACGGCATTTACACTGCCCACTACCCCATCTGAAGGTCAGGTGTGGCCTTCATGCCCATCTAGAATTCTTGCCCACTTTCCCACCCTGTCCTGTTGGGCCTGACCCAGCCCAGGGGTTGCCCATCCCATTGCCTGGTGAGTTAAGGGGAGGCAAGAGGCAGGTACCTGCACACTGTTCTTGTAGGTCCTCAGAAATGGCTGGACCTGTGAGGAGACGGGGATGAGCAACGGCAGCAAATTCTGCTCGCTTCTCTGCCTGCCAGCACTCAACAAGTGTCGGCCTGGCACAAACAGCTGCAGCCTCCCTGCCCTGTGTCCCAAGCCCGGCCTCTACCAGGCTGACTCCCTCCCAAGATGCAGGGGGCCATCTCTGCAACCTGAACCCAGCATAAAGAATGAGCATCAATTCATGCTTCACGGGAACACGCCTGTCTTCCTTCCACCTCCTGCGCGGCTGGCTGAGGATGGCTATGCTGCCTCCCTTTCTCCACCCTGCCCTCTTGCAACCATGCACCTCTTTCTGCTGGAAAAAGCCCTTGTCTCCACTCCCCGGGCTCCCTTGCCACTCCATGCCTACCCCACCCTGCAGTGACTACGGCCCCTTCCTGCCCAGGTAAGAAAAGTCAGATGATTTTGGTCCTGCCTCACATAAGCCCTGTGCACTGGTTCCCAGTGTCAGCCTAGGAGCCCTCTGGGTATACAGAGGGATTCTTGGGGGTGAGGGCAGCTGCTGCAAAGCTCCAAGAATCTTTCTGAGAACTTGTGAGTAAAAATGGGGGGCTTGTCCTGCTTTTCCTTCCCTAGCTCCAGCTTCCAATTTACTCCCCTGCCCCCACCCAATTAGAGATCTAGATCTTGGTTCCTCACTCTACCCATATTGTCATGGAGGCAGGGGCTATATGAAAACAAGGGATCCTTCCGCCCCATCTGCCCTTGAAGTTCTCCGCTGCCCTCAGCTTTCAGAATGACAGGTAGATGTGGCTGCCATGCTCATCTTGCCTGCCTCAAAGAGTTGTCTCCAGCCTAGACATGTGTGAGCGCTCCCAGGCCTCTGGGTCACTGGGGGTTGTCATCCCTCTCAGCACAACCAGATGGGGCGTTTGGGGTGGGTGGGCAGGCAGAGCTGGGGTGAGGGTGAGGGCCTAGGATGAAATGAACCAAGAAGCCCAGTGGAGCCGGAGCCTGGAAGGACGTGCTTTCCACTCTACCTGGTTCGGACATGTGATATTGATCTCGTTTTCAAACTTATGACGTGTCGTCTTCTGGCCAACAGGCTCCAGCTAAACAAAGAAGCAGGCAGATGGGGAGTGAGGAAGAGGCAGTCAGAATGGAAAGCTCAGGACGCAGGTCAGGGGTGCGGGAGGCAGGGAGGGACGAAGGAGATGGGGTTTGTTTATCATTGCTGTGCACAGAATCACACGGCCTGCACGATGGGCCTCCAAGGTCCTCCAAAGGCTTTGTGGAGTCTTTTTCTTATCAGAGGGAGGATGCATTTTCCGACTGCAGCCACTTTACCATATTGTTCCAGAGGGCACTGGCTGCACGGGAGTGAGACTTGCTGCTGAAGTGGAAACAGTCAGGCGCAAAGAAAGAGTTGTCAGGCAATCCTTCCTGGTCACCGGGCAGAAAAAGAGAGGCAGTTATAGACACGCTGGATCATGTAAAGGACACTCAGAAACAGTCACACACTATCTGTGGATTCTCTTTATCCACGATGCTTGCTTTCTTTACCGAGGTCTTTGGCAAGTCCACGTTTTCAAAGAATGGCTGCACGACTACTGTAAAATCTTCCCTTGTGTCATATCGCCCACTCTCAATCAGTTGGTGGGTCTTCTCCTGCAGGAGGAAAAGGGGACAGAGGTCAGGCAGTCCTCTCTGCATCTGCTCAGTCCTTGATCGATCTCTTTCTCCAACACAGAATTAAACAGAATCTGACTGTTGAGTGAAATCAGCCTGGCGCAAAATCTCAACTGAGATTTTACATTTTAGATCATTTACATTTTAGATCAGCCTTTATCTCAGCCCCTGGCCCCAAACTCTGCTGCGATTGCATATATTTGAGCTAGTCTGTGAAAAGGGAAAGGTAAGAAAAGTCTATCAGCTTGACTTTATTTATTTATATATTTATTTGAGACAGAGTCTCACTCTGTCGCCCAGGCTGGAGTGAAATGGTGCGATCTCGGCTCACTGCAACCTCCACCTCCCGGCTTCAAGCGATTCCCCTCAGCCTACGGAGTAGCTGGGATTACAGTGCCCGCCACCACGCCTGGCTAACTTTTTGTATTTTTAATAGAGACGGGGTTTCACTATGCTGACCAGGCTAGTCTCAAACTCCTGACCTCGTGATCCGCCCGCCTTGGGCTCCCAAAGTGCTGGGATTACAGGTGTGAGCCACCGTGCCTGGCCAGCTTGACTCCTTTTAAAGCTATTCTGATTAAGGACTTGAGGGGTGGTTTTTGGTTAAATGACATTCTGAATAATCCTAAGAATTTATTTCTGTCCTACATTTGTTCAGAAAAATCAAAGGTGAATCAAAATTTAATGTATATTTATACTGCCTGTGCATGGTGTGTGTGCGCTTCTTTGAGGCTCTCAGATCTGTGTAACCCTCACAGCTTCTGCTTGGGGTCACTTCTAGGAAAACCTGTTACCCCAGTTCCGGCTCCCACTCTAGCCTGACTCAGCCATTCCACTGCTAACCAGGGTTTCTGCCACCTCGGGATTACTCTGGCTGGAGAGGGAAGTCAGGGTTACACACCTGGGAATGTGAATGGTGTCACTTCAGAAGATACCACACACTGTCTTTTCCCAGGGTCAGTTCCTAGGCCAGGAATGTCTCATGTCTGACCTCCCAAGCCAGTGTCTGCCTTGAGTAAGGCACGAGGGAAGGAGAAAAGGTCATCTCTCAGAACAGGGGAAGGAAGTGAGGTGCTGCGAACTAGCGGGGTGACTTCCAGCCCGCTGCTTTCCTTTTCTCTGTTTCCCCTTGTAGATGGAGGATGCTGGCTGAGTCCTGGGCCATCTCTTAAGTCCTTTCCGATGCTACTGGTTACTCTGGGGATAGCCAGATGGGCTCACGGTGGAACCACATGCCTTTTGGCAGTGGAAAGAAATAGTGTGTAGAGTCCCCGGCACATGGCAAGTGGCAAGTGAGTGACTGTGGTTATTAATAGGAATGATCATCTCCAGGGAGAGTGATGAGAGCCGCAGCTATTGTGGGAAGTAGGGTGTGAGATGATTCTGAGAGAGGGCGTGATGGCCACACACAGCTGACACGTGGGCATCTCCAAAACACTAGACCAGGGCCTCAGTGGCGACCAGGATCAGCCTGGGAACAGCTGGCCTGTCTGCAGAGGCCGGCAGCGCGATGTTGGCGAATCTTTCTCCTGCTTTTCGGCTGCTCAGCATCTGAGCCCACTTCCAAGTCTGAAGACCCCACTGCATAGAGAGCAGCCTGCCTCCCACTGTGGAGGCTAAAAAAGACGACAATGCCTGCTTTCCCAACCCCTCTTGCAGCCAGGGCGTGGGTACGTGACTAGGTTTCACCAATCATTGCCTGTGTCAGGGATGGCAAAACATCCATTCTGCTGACGGTGGCAGCTGCGTCCAGTTCCTAGAAGCAGCAGTGACAGTGGAGTTTGTGATGTCTTCCCTGGACCAGGTCTGTGGCCTGATTCTTTTTTTTCTTTTTTTTTTTTTTTTGAGACGGACTCTTGCTTTGTCTGGGTTCACACCATTCTCCTGCCTCAGCCTCCCGAGTAGCTGGGACTACAGGCGCCCACCACCATGCCCGGCTTATTTTTTGTAATTTTAGTAGAGATGGGGTTTCACCGTGTTAGCCAGGATGGTCTCGATCTCCTGACCTCTTGATCCGCCCGCCTCGGCCTCCCAAAGTGCTGGGATTATAGGCGTGAGCCACCGCGCCCGGCCCTGATTTTGATTTTTTTTTTTTTTTTTTGAAACAGTCTCACTGTGTCACCCAGGTTGGAATGCAATGGTACAATCTTGGCTCACTGCAACCTCCGCCTCCTGGGCTCCAGTGATCCTCCCACCTCAGCCTCCCAAGTAGCTGAGACTACAGGCATGTGCCACCACATCCAGCTAATTTTGGTGTTTTTTGCAGGGTTTCACTATGTTGGCTAGGCTGGTCTTGAACTCCTAACCTCAAGTGATCCACCCGCCTCCGTCTCCCAAAGTGCTGGGATTATAGGCGTGAATCACCACACCCAGCCCTGATTTTGATCCTTATGGCTTGGCCCCTAGAATTCCAGGATTCCATGATTCCTGATGGCTTAGCTCCTGACCCTAGCTGTCTAGCTCTGTCAGAGATTCTGTGTAAATATAAATCTGTGTAAATTAGCCAGAAACTGCATGAACTTTAGTTGCATGCACCCAATAACCCCAGTTGAAACAGGGTTGCTCTCATGGCCATAACCTCCGCTGTTTTCCCTCTTCTGATGTGGGCCAGGGACTTCCTCCCCAGAGTCCCAGGTGCCTGCTCACAGCAGAAGCAAGTATGGCTTGGCACGGTGGCTCACGCCTGCAATCCCAGCACTTTGGGAGGCTGAGGCAGGTGGATTGCTTGTGTGCAGGAGTCCAAGACCAGCCTGGGCAATATAGTGAAACCCAATCTCTACTAAAAATACAAAAAGTAGCTGGGTGTGGTGGCACACACCTGTAGTCCCAGCTACTTGGAGGACTGAGGCGGGAGGATCACTTGAGGCTTGGAGTTTAAGGCTGCAGTGAGCCGAGATTGTGCCACTGCACTCCAGGCTGGGTGACAAAGTGAGACCCTGTCTCATTATAAATAAATAAATAAATAAATAATAAAACAAAATAAAATAAAGGAAGTCCAGCTGGGGAGTCATCCCGAGTGCTAGGTAGTAGGCACAAAGGATAATAAATACAGGTTCATTTCCCTGAGCCCTGATACACCTGGCAGGTATAGCTGCCCCCAAAATGGTCTGCAGGGAAATGGTGCTGTCCCCAAGGAGTCCATGGACTCCTGGAAGGATGGATCCACTCTGGCAGCTGTTTGCAGCCTAGTCTAGAAGAAAGGCCTACCATTGTCCTCTTTGAGTGACTGGACAAATTTTTTGTTGGGGAGAAACTCGATCGTTAAGGGAGTCAGCTGTTCTGGTCAAAGATGTGCTAGAGAAAGGACTAAAACGAACAACTCACAAGATGGAGATGATCTGACTTTCTTTCTCCTTGTGCTCCCCAAGAACATCCATTCTATCGGAGCGGAGGGCAGAGGGAATGCACCTTATCTCGCTGAACCCTGGAGACCCTCAAGGCAGGGAGGTCTTTCAGCCTCCGTTTCCCACCCAGGAGCTAGAAGTTCAGAGAAGTTTCATTGCCCATGTGTCTAATGTTCCACAACCAGTGAGCAGAGTCGAGGTTCGGACCTGGATAGATCCACTCTGAAACTTCTTTCCATGATCCATGTTTGCCATGGATAAGTGGAAATGTTCGTTTCATGTAACGACCAGGAACTGAGATTCAGTGGCTCGTGTTCAGGAACTTGGTTCTGTGGTGCAATTCAAACAAACCAAATAGCAGCCCCCACCCCTGTGTTCAGGGACTTGGTTCTGTGGTGCAATTCAAACAAACCAAATAGACACCCTGTGTCTCAGGGTGTTTTAAAATCAGCAAACTAGTCAGTGGTCATCGCCCACACAGGGTCAAAATTACTGAAGCATTGACTTGTTCTCTAGACAGAGGAATCAAATCACACAGCAGTTCTGGGAAGTCTTAGAACCCTTCCCAGCTTACCTGAAACTTCTTGTTGAATTCGATGAGCGTGGCAAGTTCTGTTGAGTTATCATCAAACTTCAGGACACAGGGACACAGAGACCTGCAGACCAAACCAAAGAGAAACCCTCACTGCATCAAGATCACCATCCTGAATAAGGGATGCAGAAACGTTGGCTTGAGACTCAATATATTTCTTTTAACTTGGAGTTCAGAAATCTGTGCTAATGAGGAGCCTGGCTGGCTGACCTGCTGACCACACCAAACGAAGCTAAAGAAAATTTCCAGGCCAGGCGCGGTGGCTCACGCCTTGGTTCACGCCTGTAATCCCAGCACTTTGGTGGGCGAGGTGGGCAGATCCCTTGAGGTCAGGAGTTCGAGCCCAGGCTGGCTGACATGGCGAAACCCCGTCTCTACTAAAAATACAAAATACTAGCCGGGCATGGTGCTGCATGCCTGTGGTCCCAGCTACTCAGGAGGCTGAGGCATGAGAATTGCTTGAACCTGGGAGGCGGAGGTTGCAATGAGCCGAGATTGTGCCACTGCACTCCAGCCTAGGCAACAGAGCAAGACTCTCTCTCGAAAGAAAAAAAAGAAAAAAGAAAAAAGAAAAATTCCTAGACCTGGATTTGCTCTTGAAAATGAAATAGACTTCTTCTGCTATCTGTAGGAGTGACTTTTATGGAGCCGACTCACCTTGGGGCTGTCTGAGGAAAGTGCTGTGCGGATGAGGCATGCTTCAGTGACAACAATAATAACTGCTGAGATACATTGATTTGAATGTATTTTAGTAATTATTATTGAATAATTAACATTGAAAGGTATACCAAGCACTGCAATAATAACTTTATGGGTATTAACCTGTTTAGTCCTCCTAGCCATTCTAGAAGTGCTATTCTCATTATCCCTGTTTTACAGATGAGGAAACCGAGGCTCAGAGTGGTTGAGTAACTTTCTCAAGGTTGCATGGGTGCTGAGTGTGGGAGCTAGGACTTGAACTAAGCCTGCCTGGCTCTGAACCTGAGCTCTTAATCTCTATATTAAATCTCTATATTAAACTGCTTCCATCCAGTCTGCATGTCTGACCTGGCCAGCTATCTGGCACATCTGGGCTTTTGGTCCAGGGGGATGAGGTGATAACAGCAGGGATGGCTCCGTGTAGACTCAGCACTGCAGAGGAAAGCACAGCCACCCGATGAAACAGTGGAGAGGCGGGGAGTGCAGGGCACTGCAGAGGCAGCAGGAGAAGGTGACCTGAGTCTATCCAACCTTGACATTCAGTGACTTGGCCATCTCAGATCTGGGAATGGACCTGGCAAATGCCTATTCTGAACCTTTAGTTTGAAAGGTTTAAAAAACCCTGCTGGGATGGGTAGCAGGAGGCCTTCTGGTAAGCTGCTCTGAAATGGAGTGAAGACACCGATCCCGTTTGGCCCAGTGACTGGAGAAAGTGGGAGCCAGGGGATGAGTCAGCAGTTGGAAATAGCATGCCTGACACCAGCTGTGTTCATAGGCACGTGTCACCCAGCAGCCATCCTGTCTCTGCTCACAGCACCGTGAGGCCTTCTCCAGGGGACCTGTGCAGTTTGGGTCCCCCAGGTGAGGCATGGCGTGGATCTGCAGAGGAGCAGGAAAGGTACCCCTTAACTTCCAAGAGCAAGTCTGGCCCATGTGAATTATTCAGTCATCCAGCAAACAGCAGCTGAGCCCCTACACCGTGCTAGCAGTGACTCAGACTGAGTTCACAGGCTGTGGGGGAGAGAGGCATATGAAGAATTACCATGTGATGTGCTCAGGGCTGGGATGGGGACCTGTACTGAATAACACAGCTCGGGGGCAGGGTAGGGGAGCACAGCCTCAGTGACCTTGGCTAACAGTCCAGAGGAGAACTTGCAGGAAGGAAGGCTGTGGGAAACGTTCATGCTTCACTTAGAGAAACGTCTTATTCCTGACCGTCCTGGAGATGTGTGATACAGGCTGGGTCTCCCTTATCTGAAATGCTTTAAGCCCGAAGTATTTCAGAATTTTTTTTTTTTTTTTTTTTTTTTGGATTTTGGAATATTTGCATTACCCTATGGCTATCGTTTTCAGCCACATCTTTACAACACAGAGAATGAGCAAAAACTAGGTGCGTAATGCACGCAGGTCTTAGCCCCACATGAGCCCTCGTGGGGAACCTGCTGTTGGAGTATCCAGCCTGCACATGTGCCATTTTGCTACCCTTTGTGGGCATGCTTGAGCCACAGGATCTGGGCATGCCCAGAAAAGATAGTGCATCGCAGCTGAAGGCGGCTTTTCGGGGCTGCTGAGTAAACTGCATGCTGTGCACCTGTGTTTTGACTACAACCTGTCACACGAGGTCAGGTGTGGAATTTTCCCCTTGTGGTGTCATGTTAGCATTTTAAAAGTTTCAGATTTTGGGTCGGGCGTGGTGGCTCATGCCTGTAATCCCAGCACTCTGGGAGGCCGAGGAGGGTGGATCACCTGAGATCAGGAGTTTGGGACCAGTTTGGCCAACATGGTAAAACCCCGTCTTTACTAAAAATACAAAAATTAGCTGGGCGTGGTGGTACACCTGTAATCCCAGCTACTCAGGAGGCTGAGGTGGGAGAATTGCTTGAACCTGGGAGGTGGAGGCTGCAGTGGGCTGAGATCGCACCACTGTACTCCAGCTTGGGTGACAGAGTGAGACCATGTTTCAAAAAAAAAAAAAAAAGTTTTAGATTTTGCAGCATTTCAGATTTCAGATTTTCAGATGAGGGATGCTCAGCCTGTATTAGATAGGGAAGCCAGCTCTGTCTGGCTCTGGAGGCTGAGGGGTGAAGACGTCCTCTCAGGCAGCTTCTCAGGACCAGTGCTTTCTACTCTCTGGGGAGGACTCTATCCTCTGGACCCTGCTGGTTCTGGTTTGACCTCCTTCTCTGGCTAGTGACAGTGGCCCTGTATCTGTGAATGCTTTACATGGAACACCCATACCAACCAGAGGCACCCCTGTCCTAGAGATGAGCCTCTAGGAGGGGACAGGTCAGCTCTGGACACACTTGGAAGCAGGTCCCAGCAGTGGCCTGGGCAGTCCCCAGGCCTCGCCCACACAGCTTGACTCCATTCCTAGCGTTTACTCTTCCCTCTGGAGGCCTGGAGGGTGCCTTGTGGTTGCCATGGCAACAGAGGTGGGGTGCGGGGATAGTTCCCCATGCACACCCTGAGGTGGGCTGAGGCCTATACCAGGGTGGAAAAATCCTGGGATATCCTCCCCTTAGGCCTTTCCAGGTTAGAAGATGGGGTGGTCACAGCCCTTTCACACTTCGGCCCTTGGGTTTTCTTTTTTTTTTTTTTTGAGACAGAGTCTGGCTCTGTCGCCCGGGCTGGAGTGCAGTGGCCGGATCTCAGCTCACTGCAAGCTCCGCCTCCCGGGTTCACACCATTCTCCTGCCTCAGCCTCCGAGTAGCTGGGACTACAGGCGCCCGCCACCACGCCCGGCTAGTTTTTTGTATTTTTTAGTAGAGACGGGGTTTCACCGTGTTAGCCAGGATGGTCTCGATTTCCTGACCTCGTGATCCACCCGTCTCGGCCTCCCAAAGTGCTGGGATTACAGGCTTGAGCCACTGTGCCCGGCCTGGCCCTTGGGTTTTCTAAGGAATTTGCTAAGGGTGCCACTGCCCTTAGCAGTTAGGATTCTTAGCAGAATTGGGGAGAAGTGTCTGTCTGACCTGAGGATCATCCTTGGGCAGTAGACTTTCTTCTCCTGGTACAGCTCTCTCAGGTTGACGATCTCAAGCACCGTCACCAGGTTCACAAATGCCCGAGGAACCTGAGAAAAGGCAAAAATCAGTCACCAAGAGGATGAGGCTGGGCAGCTCCAGGCTCTCACCTGGGTTTGGGACCTGCTCTTCCTGCTGAAGTTTCAGGTCTAGGGACTTCCATCTGCCCCCATCCACTTCCTCCAACCGTCCCTGCTCCCCATCTATGCATCTGGGCTGGGATCCACAACAAAGGTGACCTGCCGGGGAGGTCTCAGCAGGACGCCAGAGCTTCCTCTAGGCTAGGTCTCACGGCCTCCGTACCTCGGCGTGGAGGATGTCCAGGGCCTTCCCAATGTTGTCTGTGAAGTTCTGGGGAGAATAGTGGACCTGCAGGAAGAGAAGTGTCCACTGAACACCATTTGTCACCAAATCTCTCTACAGAACCGGGATACTTTCTCTCTTGGGTCCTTCTTTTTTTTTCTGTTTTTGAGACATGGTCTCACTCTGCCTTCTGGGCTGGAGTGCAGTGGCATGATCACAGCTCACTGTAACCTTCACCTCCTGGGCTCAAGTAATCCTCCCACCTCAGCCTCCCAAGTAGCTGGGACCACGGATACATGACACCACACTTGGCTAATTTTTTTTTTTTTTTTTGGTAGAGATGAGGTTTCACCATGTTGCCCAGGCTGGTCCTGGGCTCAAGTGATCCATCCATCTCGGTCTCTCAAAGTGCTGGGATTACAGGTGTGAGCCACTGCACCTGGCCAGAGTCCTCTTCTTTCTGTATTCAGTCACAGTGGGCAATATTGAAATGCAGTGTTTGTCTTTGGGGCCCCAGCCTCGACACCAGCCTCAGGTTTGCCATGGCTGTGGCCCTCAGGGAAATGCCGTTTTTCTTTTCATTTTGTTTTGTTTGTTTTTTTGCGTGGAGCTCTGGACCTACTCCATATCCACTAGCTGTAGAGCCGGAGCATCACATCTCTGGGCCCCTCTAACACGGGGATGTCAGAGCAGATGACCTCTAAGATCTCCTGCAACCTGAGCAGCCTCTGTCCTACGGCCCAATCACTTTTGCTTGGAGCCTGTGTCTGGGGCTACTGAGCACACCCTACATGTATGAAAGCACACCCTACACAAATCAAAGCAATAACGGGAGGGGAAGAGGGGAAGAGGGTCCTGTGAAACACCCGCCACATCAAGCCTCAACACATTTTAACTGTTTCTCCTGATCTCGATATTTGCAGTTTTAAAGCTTTCTCGCAGTGGAACTCTTTCTCTGATTGAAATCTAAACAAAAGCCCTACTGTATGGAACATACCAAAGCTGTGTCACTTAATGTGAGCAGGGGAGGGGCCCAGGGTCCCACCTCCCCATGGGCCACCAGCAGCCCCAAGGCTCCCCTCTGGACCTTTCAGATCACAGCTTGAAAACTCCTGACTCCTGGTGACTTTGATGCCAGGTAAGTGGGTTGTGAGGGGCCTGGGGGCCAGGGCATCCCTCCAGGTAGGTGCTTACAGGCCACAGCAAGACCACTACTTCCTAAACCTGACTCTGCTGGTCCCCTATCTGCCTGACAAATCTTCTCATCTTCAAGCCCCAGCTGGAAAGTCTCCTGCTCTGTGTAAATCTCTCCAACAACCCCTGCTTCCCCACACACCAGGGTCCCACAGCAACCTTGCTTTTTTTTTTTTGAGATGGAGTCTCACTTTGTCACCCAGGCTGGAGTGCAGTGGCGTGATCTCAGCTCACTGCAACCTCTGCCACCTGGGTTCAAGTGATTCTTCTGCCTCACCCTCCCAAGTAACTGGGACTACAGCCACTCGCCATTATGACTGGCTAATTTTTGTATTTTTGTAGAGATGGGGTTTCACCATGTTGGCCAGGTTGGTCTCGAACTCCTGACCTCAGGTAATCTGTCTGCCTCGGCCTCCCAAAGTGCTGGGATTACAGGTGTGAGCCACCACGCCAGCCAACTTTGCTTTTAGACCTCCCTTCTGTGTGCAACCCTACAACCACATCCTGATGTCTGCCTTGTGCAGGATGAATTGCCCATGTCTCTCTCCGCTGGCAGTGCAAGTTCCTGAGGACAGGGCCTGTGTTTCCTTTGCCACTGCTTTGCTCCTGGCATAGGCGTGGGTGGGAGACTAGTGGGTATGCCCTGTCAGGCTTCTATCAGCTCAGAGACTGAGGTTCCAGGAGGACATGCAGCATCCATGGAGCAGCAGCCTTGATCTTGGGTTTCCCACCAGCCCAGAATGACGTGGCTCTGAAGCTCGCCCAAATGCCTGCAAGAACTCGACCTTTCCATACAAGTGACAGCACAAAGGTGGAGAGGGCAAGGCCGCTGGAGACTGGGGAAAGGAGCTAACCTGTGACTCTCTGTGAACACAGGAAAGATTTTTCTAGTCAATGGGTGTTATCTTGGTTTCTAGAATGATATGGTCAAGCTTCCTTGATAGGAAACTTAATCAGGATCGATCTTATAACCAATCCTGCTTGTCCAGCTGAATGGCTCCCTGGAGGTGAATGCCTTCTCAGTCTCAGGGTTCATCCCAGGCTGGATCCAAGACAAACCACGAGCCTGAGTCCCAACTTAGCTGTACTGCTCCTGGGCAGAGCAAGTGACCGGGCTGTGAAAATCCTTCTCTGGGGGTGAGTCTTGAGTAAAGGGCCTGCAGACCTACCGGATCACTGCAGAAATCACAGAGGTCATTGCCGCCTATAAACAGGGTAATTATCTTCCAATCTTCCTGAAAGTGTATCCTCTGAAATGAATAAGAAACACACAATCAAGCACCTTGTCCCAGAGTCAAGCCAAGGAAAACACTTTTCTAGTGCTTGACACTAGAAAAGATGGGTCCTCACACACTAGAGTCTCACGGACTTTCGAATTTACTGTTCCTTGGTTTGGGCTCCTGAGATCATAGGTGCTAATGGTTCATTATTTTAGGTGGGATCACTGAACTTCCATGTGGCTCTGTCCACACACAAAAGCACACACGTCACAGTTTCCACGTGTCCTGGTGGGAGTGGATACAGATGCCCTCTGAGCTCTGTTCCTCCATCTCCAGCATAGCAAGGAAGTGGGGAGGGGATAAGGAAGCTGGTCTTGGCCATGGGACAGGAACGTTTGTTCCAGAATCTTCTAGAAATCTTGAATTCTAATTTTGCCTTAACAGAGAAAGGACCACCTTTCATTAAGAGGGAGCTCTCCAAATCTGGAGTGCTCACACTGGGGACTAGCTCTGCCTATGAACTAGTCAAGCCAGAGAGGATGGGCAGAGTGAGGTGGCAGCTCGAAGCACAAGCTCTGAAAAGATGTTGCCACCTCTGGGATCTGTCTCCTCCAAGGAGGACCTGGAGAAGTACGTGAAGTCACAGGGCTGTGTGGAGAGGGTACAGCCATACACATTCCATAAACTATGGCCCCAGGGCAGCCACGGCCCTTCAAGCCTCTTGTATTGCCCCAGGCCTACATAGCTTTACTTCCCTGATCTGCACTTCCAAAAGAGGGTGGAAGGAGGAAGGTGAGAACAAGATCCAGAAAAGTTTGACATTAAGGGTAGAAATACCCTGAAAACCTCCCAGTAATAGCCTTTGTTGTACATTAAATTATATATAACATAACTCATCCTAATCTTCCTTTTTATTTTACCCACCTAGAAACCCCTGCAAACAGCCTCTGAATTGAGACCCATGCTTTCAATCGAGGGAGAGCCTCATATTCATCTTTCAGAACCCGGCTCAAACATCTCCTCTACTTTTATTTTTTGGTACTGCTCCTTGTAGACCAGGGCTCTCCCATAGGCCATGTGCCCAGAATAACAGCCAAAATCTCCTTCTCAAGCCTTCCCTGACCATCCTAAGCAGAAGGGCCGGTCCCTTCTGCACCCCACCCTGTCTTATACAGAACCTTTATGATGGAGCACGTGGCAACTGCTCTATAATTTGATTCTTCACATTGGTCTCCTCTTCCAACCTCCTTGAGGACGGGACTGTGTTGTATTGTTTCGTGTATCTCCAGCCCCAGCCTGATGCCTGACTCACAATAGATGTTTAATTTCAACAGCCGACTGACTGAACAAATAGGAATCACCTTTCCAGAGGAACAGCGTTTTAGGCTTCAGATGTGTCTGCTAGAAACCCACGCCAAGCTCCCAACCACCCCTCAATCCACAGCTGATCTTTCCTATGTCCAGGGATTTCTCTTGCCTACTTCCCATCCCAGGGACCCACCGTGTCATTCTTCATCAGGTCCACCAGCCTCCTGGCCTGGACAGGTAAATCCCTGTGGACACATACCAGAGGAAGTGCTATGAGGAGTGGGGACTGGCAGGGGCCCTTAGCAGAGAGAACAGCAATCAAATGTACAGTGGAGGAAGGCCCAGGGTGGGCCTCCTGCAGGAAAATGGACTGAAGGCCATGTCACAAAGCTCCTTCCCCATTCATGCTTCACTGTGGGGGTGTTGGGTGGTGACTGTGCTTGGGAAGGCCAGAGCACTGCACATAGGAGGGGGTGACTCTCAGTGTGACTATTTCTTTTTCTCCCCCGCTCCCCCCGCCGAGATGGAGTCTTGCTCTGTCGCCCAGGCTGGAGTGCAGTGGCACAATCTCAGCTCACAGCAACCTCTGCCTCCTGGGTTCAAGCAATTCTCCCGATTCAGCCCCCCAAGTAGCTGAGATTACAGCCACGTGTCACCACGCCCAGCTAATTTTTGTATTTTTAGTGGAGACAGGGTTTCCCCATGTTGGCCAGGCTAATCCCAAACTTCTGACCTCAAGATCCATCCGCCTTGGCCTCCCAAAGTGCTGGGATTCCAGGCGTGAGCCACCGCGCCCGGCCAGTGTGACTATTTTCTGATTGGCATATTTGGTATGGTGTACTTTTCTTTTCCTTCCAAGCCAGGCTTGTTCAGGGCAAACAGAAGGTTTGCCTGTGAGTATTTCACATCATGCACATGTCATGGCACCCCCCATTTTGGCAGGTGCCCTGGTCTAAGCCCTCCTACCCTTAAGATGATGTAGTCTAGTCAGATGCACCTGAGTTGGACACTTAAGTGCCTCTTGCTAACTGTGTGAAAGTGACTCTAATTCTCAGCTCAAAAAGACCGCAAAATGGAGACAAGCTCGCTGATCTTGGACGGTCACTGGGAGCAGTAGATGAGAGCCACTGCTGGTGCCGGACTGCCAGGGTTTGAATCCTGGTTCCACAAATGACCAGCTCTGAGACCTTGGCCGACTACTTGATCCTGCAAACCCTCAGTTTTTCCCTTTGGGAAACGGGGATGGTAACATACCTTCCTCTCAGAGCTGTTGGGAAAATTAAATGAGGTGCCATATAAAGAACTTACAACAGTGCTTGACACATAGTATGCAGCCACTGAGTTATTTCTGCCATCATTCCCACCATCAGCACTGACAAAGTCCCTGGCACAGGGCTTAGCAGGAAACATTAGTGGTCATCCTCTTCCCCTCTTATCTATTTGCCCTCCTGGCCTGATGTGAGTCAAAGTACACTAGGTATTTGGTTACCTGGATGGGGACTGCACGTAAGTCACTTAACCTTTTTGAGCCTTGATTTCCTCATCTGTAAATCTGAAGTTATCAGAGCAGCTGCTCTGTTGATGGAACAGAGTTTGAGGATGATTACTCAACCACTCTGAAACTCTTTTTTTTTGAGACTGAGTCTTGCGCTATCACCCAGGTTGTAGTGCAATGGCATGATCTCTGTTCACTGCAACCTCCACCTCCCAGGTTCAAGCGATTCTCGTGCCTCAGCCTCCCAAGTAACTGGAATTACAGGCACCCACCACCACACCCGGCTAATTTTTGTATTTTTCATAGAGACGGGATTTCACTATGTTGGCCAGGCTGATCTCGAACTCCTGACCTCAAGTAATCTGCCCACCTCAGCCTCCCAAAATGCTGGGATTACACGCGTGAGCCACTGTGCCTGGCCGAAGCTCAAGTTTATCATTGGTAAAACATGGGAGTCTGATGTTTTGCTCTGTTCATCTCATAGTTATTGTGCAGACTACAGGGATGATAAATGTGAGGGTGCCTTGTAAATGGTGCACTGCTGTATCCACATGACAGCTATTGTCAGACCTGGAATAAAGCCTGCAGGGCACAAGGCCAGACTATGTGGTCAAGTCGAAGCATTTGTTCAGGCCATGTGGCCTCTCTGTGCTATAGTTTCTTCCATTGTAATACAGGAATAATAATCCCCAACTTTTCCCTGCCACCCAGGATGTGCTTGGATTGCTTGCATGAGAGCCCCAAGTCCTCTGGCAAAGCAAGGACAGAAACCCAGGGCCAAATGAATCACATTCATTGTGGTTACTTTTACGCTCTTGACTAAGGTTTCATTCTTGGATGCCTCCCTGACCTAATCATGCTTACAACTGTCTTTCCTCTTATACTACCAGCCCACATATGCTTGGAAAAAGCAAGATGATGATACTATTAAAGCAGTAAACCTGTAGCCTTTTAACTCTATCACCATCAAAAGGAAAAGAAAGCCCCAGAATTTATCATAAAACCTATTGGGCCTTCTGGATGCTGTGGCTTACACCTGTAATCCCAGCACTTTGGGAGGCCGAGGCGGCAGATCATGAGGTCAGGAGATCGAGACCATCCTGGCTAACACGGTGAAACCCTGTCTCTACTAAACATACAAAAAATGTGCTCATAGTCCCAGCTACTCAGGAGGGTGAGGCAGGAGAATCACTTGAACCTGGGAGGCAGAGGTTGTAGGGAGCCGAGATCGTGCCACTGCACTCCAGCCTGGGCAACAGAGCGAGACTGTCTCAAACAAACAAACTAAACCTATTGGGGTTTGTATTACCCATTACTTTGGATACTGTGTCACCTTTCCTACTGGCAAAGAATAAGAAAGCTACTTAGGTGGCTCATGGTCTCAGGATGGTGCTGAGAGCTGGAAGGATGTCAGGAAATCTAGGAACCAAACCACATGATTCCTAGGAACTACAATGTAGTGTGATATTTGTGATTAAAAATAGGATCTAAAAAAAACCAAATCATCCCATCAAAAAGTGGGCAAAGGTCATGAATGGTCAGTTCTCAAAAGAAGATATACAACCAGCCAACAAACATGAAAAAATGCTCAACATAACCAAATATCAGGGAAATGCAAATTAAAACAATAAGATACCACTTTACTCCTGTAAGAACGGCCATAATTAAAAGGTCAAAAAATAATAGATGTTGGCCTGGATATGGTGAAAGGGAACACTTTTACACTGCTGGTGGGAGTGTAAACTAGTACAACCTCCACGAAAAACAGTGTGGAGATTCCTTAAAGAACTGAAAGCAGAACCACCATTCGATCCAGCCATTCCCACTTCTGGGTATCTACCCAAAGGAAAATAAGTCGTTATATGAAAAAGACACATGCACATGCATGTTTATTGCAGCACAATTTGCAATTGCAAAGATACAGAACCAACCTAAGTGCTCATCAACCAAGTGGATAAAAAAAAAATGTGGTCTATATACACCATGGAATACTACTCAGCCATAAAAAGGAATGAAATAATGTGCTTTGCAGCAACTTGGATGGAGCTGGAAGCCATCATTCTAAGTGAAGTAACTCAGGAATGGAAAACCAAATATTCTATGTTCTCACTTATAAGTGGGAGAGCAAAGCTATGAGGATGCAAAGGCATAAGACTGATATAATGGGCCAGGCATGGTGGCTCACGCCTGTAATCCCAGTACTTTGGGAGGCCTAGGCGGGCATATCACTTGAGGTCAGGAGTTCAAGACCAGCCTGGCCAACATGGTGAAACCCCGTCTCTACCGAAAAATACAAACAAAATTTAGCCGGGAATGGTGATGTGTGCCTGTGATCCCAGCCACTTGGGAGGCTGAGGTGGGAGAATTGCTTGAACCTGGGAGTGGAGGTTGCTGTGAGCTGAGATTGCACTACTATACTCCAGCCTGGGCAACAGAGCAAGACCCTGTCTCAAAAAAAAAAAAAAAAAAAAAAGATATAATGGACTTTGGGGACTCAGAGAGGAAGGGTGGGGGAGGTGAAGGATTAAAGATTACATACTGGGTAGAGTGGACACTGCTCAGGTGACAGGTGCACCCAAATCTCAGAAATCACCACTAAAGAACTTACTCATGTAACCAAAAACTAACTGTACCCCAAAAAGTGTTGAAATAAAAATTAAAAATAAATACAAATAGTATAAAAAAGGATCTTCCAATTTATGTTTCCTTGATTAGGTATGGCATTCACTTGCTCTCTGACCAGGCAGCAAACCCAAACAGCACTCAAGGCCCTGGAATCTTGGAGTGCAGTGGAGGGATGGGACCTAGGAATGCTGACCTGCCCACTCCTGAGGACCGGCCTGGCCATGCCCAGGGACCATGACAGTCATGGCTGTGCTCACTGATGTTTCCCCCGAGGTGGGCCTGCCACTTGCTGCATTACTGCCAGGACCACCATTTTGACCAATGCGTGTCCTGTGTACACTATTTACAGCTCACCAGAACCTTCATATCCAACACGACATCTGAGCTTCATGACCGCCCTGTGGGAGAGGTTCCTAACCAGCCCCACCTCTTAGAGTCTGAGGCTTAGAGAGGCCATCGAGGAAACTGAGCTTGCACTCAGGGCCTCCCCTCCCAGGGCTGGTGCTCTTCCCGGGACACTGGAAGGATGCAGACTTTAGAGCCCGAAAGGCACAGCTGAGGAAGGGAGGGAGAGCAGGACTCTGAAACGGCAGTGACATAGCCGTGACAATTGGGATGCAGAGTGAGCCCGCTTATAATCTATGTCTTACGTGAGATTTACAGGCAGGCAAAGTAATCTGCTCAGAGCATACGCCTGGCATCAGAGTGCACTGTGACTAGTTTCTGGGGGTGGGTGTTAGGGTAGGCTCACAGATTTCTGTAACACCTCCAAGGCAGCCCCATCCAGCCTTTGGCCCTCAAACCCCTTCCCCTGACAAAGCCCTTCAACCTTCAGCCATAAACACAGTTTAGGCCAAGCCCCCCTCTGGTCCCCAGAAGACCTGTGCTGTTCACCGCCCCCATCACCCCGGCTCACTCAGCTCGGCCTCCTGCCACAGCCTGGTTTAAGAAGGCATTAGAACTGGTTTCTTTCCCAGTGCCAACAGAGAAGCCCTTCAGGGAAGGGTTGAATTCCCGGAGGATGTCTGCAAATACAAGGAAAAGACACGCTTAGTGACTACCGCAAAGCAATCTTCAAATTCCTTTGATAAGCACCAGTGGGTGTTAGGGAGCAGAGGCCCCACT